CTTTATTCAAATAAACTCATTACAAGCACTTTTGAATAGTCATATTTTGATTCTACCACTCATTCGGAATGCAGATTCATCACAAGAAGAATGAGCAAGAAACTTGTGTGTTGCTTTTTTTAATAGATGTTTTTTTTATATAAATAATTACAGTATAACAAGCATGCGATAATCAACATAGAAGTCGCTACGCACTCATTATTAATGTAATCAGATAATATTTTTCTAGATTTAAAATTTTTCTATAAAAACATTATTATCGTTAACGAAAATGCAAAGGAACTGTTTTATTTGACATTTAAATCTTTTTTCTGGCAGATTTATAACAGACTGCTTATAAACTAAGAAGAACTGTCATGAAACTCAGGTCTTATTCTTTTCAAACGAACTTGTACATGATTACAAAAATTCAGATTCATGTTTAAATTAAATTAGGGAGAATGTAGTGACCACTAGCGTATACTATTGCTCATCATCTGCTTCTTCCTTATCCCATTTATTTGGGGTCGGCGTAATATGTTTTTCTCTTCCATTCATTTCTGTTCGCAGTCATCCCGTTATTCCCCTTTCTCACCATATCATCTTTCACACAGTCCATCCATCTCTTTTTACCCTTATAACCATCCACATTCATATGTAACACCGTCCTTAGGATATGATCTTCATTCCTATACTATTGCTATTTTTGTCAAAAGAAAATAATATAATCTGTAGCCGTAACTCGGACAGAGCAGTCCCCACAAACAGCTCAAATATAATTTAATTTTTTATGTAATATTTTAATGTTACATCTATAAACATATTACTACATACATACATACATAACAAAAGTTTGTAACTCTCAGTTTTATGACTAGGAACCGTGTCGTGTCGCACAAAGCCGTTGTTGCTCGCGTGACTTAAGAAAAATAGTTTATATGTTTCCCTTTAATCTATGTTTCACTTTCGTTTAATGGCCATACAACCTTTTTTTATTTCAGTTCGCAACTATCCACTGCGTTTATTTTTCTTTTCCTTCTAGAAACACTCAGACGAATAGTCTGGTTTAGATGCCGTAAAGGTAATTGAAATCTACTTTGTTTGCAATTTCTCTTTCTAAAATTACCGGAAAATTAGGAACTAAATGAACGGTTTATTACAGCCTAGTGATCGAGTTGTTTACGTCAATAACGCACTAATTAGAACAGCCAATTTAATTACTAAAAAGTTCGTTACCCACATTTGATCGGCAAAGAATCGAACCCACAACCTTAATTAGCACATAGACAAAACCAACCAATTGCACCGACCAGTACGCCAAATTTACAGATCGTTATTAAATAATCTATGACTTTTCCAGTATTCCTAACATAACCTTGTTTGAATCTGGTGAAGATGTCATTCGTATCCCAAACCGTTGCTGGACTGAGTCAAACCCGCCGAGAGAACCCTCCACCCCGGCAGCACTGCTCCCACCAGCACACTCACCGGAACGTCCAACTGTGCAGAAAGAATAGCCTCCCAGAGTGGGACCCCCCTGAGCTAAGGCAGAGGAAAAATAGCCTGCCAGCTGATATCCTCGACAGAGTTAAGGATAACACACACAGCCCCAGTCCACCAATTCTCGAAGAAGAGTGACAACCATCCCCGTAAGTGACCTATCGGTGTCCCCAGTCACTCTAGTAAGCATGGACTCGCACTCCAATAGAGATGAAGAAGAAAGGCTTTTTGGGACAGGCCCCCTTGCATGCGTAGCAGCTTCTGTGAGACCTTAGGGGCGGACCTTGCACGAAATACCCTTATAGATGTCTGTATACTTTGTGATATATCAATGTTAATTTAAGAACTGGACGTTTTCTATAATATAATGGTAATAGTAACAAAACATAGGAAGCAGTGGATTCAATCCATGGTCTGAATGTGTACTAAAATGCAGATGACTTTGAAAGAAGAATTGAAGAAGTTGATACCAAATATGTACGAGTACAACATATAAATGAAATCAGTATTGAATGCCGTAATGAATCGTAATATAGTACTAATGTTGTAAAAATTATAACAGGAGCTATTCGAATTGCCGCTATTGTAATTCTTTATTTTAATCTTTTTGCATCCTTTACGTTATTCTTCTATGATCTCAATATAGCAAAGGAAGTTGATTTTTTACATAAAATTAACAAATAATATTTATCTCTTGTAATTAATTAAAGAAATTCTATAAAACAACAATGAAAGGCTATTCAGGCAAGAGGATGCTAGCTAATGTAAGTGAAAAATATATATGATTAAAGGAAATGTATATAACGCAAAAATAATTAACTGTTTGTCTATTTGTAATGGGACAAGGCAAATAATATTATATATTGCTTATTTACATAGTGTAAAACAAAGTCTCCACCGCTGTCTGTTCGCTTATATCTTTTAAATTAGGTACACAATGGATTTAAATGCAGTTTCTGCAATAGACACTACAGTGATTCAAGAGGAAGATACATGCGTATTATAGTTTAGAATAAGAAATTCAAAGATTGTTGTAATGCTTCCGTGAAAACATTAAAAACAAACACATTTAATATATATGTGTAATGTATATTAATATTAATAATGATAAAAAAAGACGTGAAGCAGAATTTAAAGCTTAATTTAAAATTATTAGACTAATTTCTTTGACTATTACGTCAAACGCTCACGTAAATGTACTCGAAGGATAATTACATGCTATATAATAATCATATGCTACAAGACTTTTAGACTGCTAATGAAGCAGTCTCACGGCGTAGACAAATTAAATCTAAACTAATTAACGAATAATTGAATATGCCTTCCAACGTCATTACGGAAATGGGACAATTACTGGCCAGTTAACTTATCCGTAACTGGAGATAACGAGACTTCACGTGCCATGATTAATACAAATTTATTAGTATCGACACCATAATGCAAATTCCACACCATATATGATAGTTTTAAAGGAACGAGTTGTAATCTTGAGAAACAATTTTGCAATCTTGGGCGTGGTGTAAACAAGATATGTAATCATTAAATTTCCATCAACATAATTAACTATTAAATATAAAAGTACAAAGTAAATATTATGAATGTTTGATAATCTAAAAAGAAATTGTCTTCAAGAAAGTGGTTGATAGAGAAATCTTACAAACTCAAATTCGCTTATAATTGTTAATAAATTAAGGTTAAATAATGTTAAAAAATAATATATGGCACAGAGATCAAATAAGGACTATATGTTAGAAAGTGTATAACAGAAGATGGTCTGATCACCATAAGCAATATCTTTTATATAACGGAATCAATAAATAAAAGATGTTGAAACAGAAGATCCATCACCAAATTTCTTGTAAGTTATGAAGTATTCTTTATACTACATGAATAACAATGAATGAATGATATAAAAGACGAAGAAGCCTTGTAACATATTTAAAATGACTGGACAGACTTTTTGGAAATGTGGCAAGTTATAGAAAAGTTCCACACAATAGAAGAAAAGATACACTGTATTGCCAATAAACTGTCTACGTTTCAAAACTGTTTGTTACGATAACCGCAGAGTTGGCAAGTCCACTTGGCAGGAACGCAGTAGTTGCTAGATCAACAGTTCCGGAGCAAGGTCGACTGAACTTTCCCCCGGTTAACGTGTAAACACGCGAGGGTATCGCACGAAACTTGCATACAAGTTCTAACCAGTCATCGCGCTAATTCAACGATGAGGTCAATGTCATTAAGGATTAAGTTCAAAGAGTTAAAGAGTAGCGTTTACTTAAAAACGTACATTAACTGATATAGTTGATTAAGTAGTAAACCACTATCATTAATAAACCCAAATAGAGGAACACTCGAATCAATTTCATTACACTGATGATACCATTAGCTTGACAGATTCAGTTTACCCTCATCTAAAAGTGTCTAAACCTAAAGATTACAATATTAGTCCTTAAAAATCTGTTGTGCTAGTCTTACTAGAGAAATGCCATTTACCTCTTTCTTACGAAATTCTGTTGCTAAACAGCAAACTACAGCTTGCTCTGGACATTATGCTCCGACGCGATGTGGCAGTAAAATTACAGGGTATCAAGGCATATCATGAAGATCTAAGTATTATCAGAAATGACAAAGCATGAAAAATATCGTAATATACGTGGTTTCACAATGCATTATATGCTCTTTGTGGTGCTGCTCATGTACATATATAGGCAACAGTTGCCACTTTTCCTGAAATTCCATTATCTTCTTTGGCAAATATTTTTTTATCAATATTCTCTTCCTTTCTAACGAATATGAGAAATAAAGTAAATAAGGAATCTAAAATATAGAATATCTTCATAGTCTTCGTAGTTAAAGCTATTGATAACGACATGTCGGGCTGAAATTACTGTGTAGCTTACATAAAACCTTAGTCATGCTACATTAGGGCCGGTTGTTTTTGATGATTCACTGTCTTCAATCTATAATACTTATTATACATTACATCTCGGTTCATACGTTATTATTCATATATTTATTTTGAATTTTACGTTATTCCATTGTCAGTTTTATTTACACAAATATATAGTAAAAATCCGTTTTCATATTTATGAATTTAATAATAATAGTCGTTTCTGTAGATAGAAATCTATTTCCGATGTCTTTCAACCTCTAACTGTCTCTAAGTCTATTTATCTAAATGCTTAACAAGATACTCGTATTGTGAATTGATTAAAATTCCGTAGTAATGGTGCTTTACAATGACTTCACCCTTAAAATCTATCTTCAATATATTTTTCTTATAACTAATCAGTATTAGAAGTAATAAAATTTGTTCCAAATGTAATTTTCTATATGTATTCACATAAGCAATCCTGTTTCTAATGAATAAAGTAAAATGACATAAAATTTTATTTTGATTTCTCCTACCCTTTCCATGGCTAATCCTCTCTTACAGCTTGGTGATCCAAAAACTTAATCAGTACTGTTGCTTCATCACGCGTATTTATTTCTAATTCCAATTCCTTCTCTTGTTACAGTCGGAGCGAGTTTCTAGGATGTGTCTCGTTCCCGTTGAAAGATGCACTTAATAGCGACATCACTGGCACATACTTCCTGCAAGGTACCGGCCGGCAAGGTGCGCCGGCGCATGCGAATGACAGGGGCAGAGACGACCGCGTGACTGAAGTACAACGCAAAATGGCGACTGATAATATAGAAAGCACCAACGATGGCACCAAGGAGAATCATAATGACAAAGGTAAATTAAAAAAGGTTTTTTGGAAGCTAATGCATTTTTAACTGAGACAGCATTTGTCAGGCCAGACAGGCCTTCAAATATTGTATATTGCCATGTATTGTATATTGGAGAATACCAAATTAAATTATTATATTGCTTTTATAAAATTATGGAATGTTCTCCAAAATGACAATGGAGTTTAATCCGACAATATAAGGTCTGGTTTTTATAAATATTTCAGGTGTGGCTGCAAATGGTCCATCGTCTGCCACGGGCACGAATCAAGCACAGACGGTAGCCGCGGCACTACAGCGGGAAGCTGACGAGCATCTATTCCTCCGGTATCTAGAACTGGACCCACCTGAAGACCCAGCAGCACCCCGGCGAGCACAAAGAAATGGTCGAACTCCCTTTACAACCACTAGAAAGTAAGAATTCTCTTGTAATAACTACACTTATTATATCAAATAATTCACACCTACATAAAATCATGATTATTATATTACGAATTTTACTGTTACTGGTGTAAACTATTCCACAAGTTACTTTAATGGTATACAATGATATCATCATGAAGGACTCAAAGATATTCTTGGGGGAATATAAATTAGCACCAAATTTCAAAAGTTAATAATATTGATAACCCTCTACAATCCTCACACCATCATCTAGTTCCACACTATACAGATCTCGTGTTACGGATACTGGAAAACTCATATAAATACTAAATACCTATTTTTTAATTTTAATAAATTCAAGATATGGATGTTTTATATATATATATATATATAAAACATCCAAATTAATACAAACAGTCATACTCTTGAATACAAAAGAATCGAAGCGTCCATCGGAAGTAAAGCGGTGTAATAAACCGAGGCATGAGCAACAAATTAATTAGTCATACCCAACAGATCAATAAAATGTCAATAAAATAGACTTTAATAAATAATCAAAATTCACTTGGCATCAACACGATAAATGAATCCTGCAATTTCTTCAACAGACTAGTCCGTGGAACGGGTGGAGGCTTCGGTTTCACTGTTGTCTGGACTCGACCTCCAAGAGTGGAAAGAGTGGCTGCTGGCGGTTCGGCTGAACGTGCGGGACTGAGGGCAGGAGATTATATTGTTTTCGTTGGCACTAAAAATGTGGTCACGGCTGCGGAGGAAGATGTACGGAGTCTTGTAAAGTAAGTTATTTATTTCATAATAACTTTTCCCTTTTTACTGTTTACGGTATTACTGTAAATATTCTGCATACAACGCCGATAGGTCCCAAATGAATAAATATATTTTACTTTAAATTTGACTAATATTATTAATATACAATATAATAACACCATTTCTATAGAGATTCAAAATGGCGAAATTAAATATTACTATTTTGTTTAATTACTAAATACCTATAATTCTGCCATTTTGTGCACAGGCGAAGGATACCATTTACTTAAAAAAAGCCGTTAGCTTGTTTACTATTTCTAATAATAATACGAATATCCCTAGACAATTCACACAACGCCATCTAGTCCCAAGCTAAGCAAACCCTGTGTTATTAGACAATTGATATAAATACTTAAATATTTCTTATAAATTCATACATAATAGACAGAAAACATCCAGACCGATACAAACAATCATACTCATGAACCCGTAACCATCGTGAATTAAGTTGTGTGACCGCTAGACCGGTGGTCTAGTCGTATACGTCTAGGCCGACAATTAAATAGTATTACTCCATTACAGGTCAGCTGGTCAATTGCTCACAATAGAAACCTTCAGAAGAGTTCCCCAAAACGGAGCAGGGGTACGAGCAAGATTAACGCAAGTGACAATCCCTCCACCGGAGTCTACTCCGCCTCCACCACCACGGTCACCTCGTGCGGCAGCTTTAGCATCACCAGCAACGGCAGCCCGACCACCAACAGCTTGTTCCTCCACCAGCCAGTCCCTTGATAGACGCAAACTACATCTTCCACAGGTCACCTTTTCCAAGGAGGTTGGTAATGGAATCATAGTGTAGTTCCTTAGATTAAAATTTTTAAAATGAGGCATACTAGTCATCTGTATAATCTATTCTAATCAACGAAATGGGTACAAAATGACTTCACATGTTCAACATAAATTACATAATCGATTTCTGGCGATAATCCAAATTAGATTCTACTGAGACCTCTTTAATGTCTTTATCGTTAAAGCCGCTATCTATAATACATTTGTTTCCTTTGTTTTTACTTTGACTAAAAGACATTTGTTTATAATGACAGTTATTTTGTTAGATTTATCATAACATTGATTAGAACAGAAATTTTAAAAATCGAATTTAAAATTGGAGTTCAAAATTTAAGAAAGTGGTGCTAGTATTAAATTTCAGGTCTATTCAGGTCGTCTTCTAGCTTGTATTTTACTGTTATATTCGTAAAAATTTGTATAATTTCACTGTGTGTTTTGTTATTTATTTTGTACATACCTATCTTAGCATAGACTTCGTACATTCCATTAATTTATATAGTAATTATATATAATTTGTCACTCTATCCTTATGTAACAAATTATTAGTTAGATTTATTATTTTCATCGTGTATGTAAATCGAATTGAATCAATGGGGAAATGTTACGTTTAAGCTTACCTACTGTTTTTGTTAATATTTATTTTGTTAATGTTTTCTATTTATTTTCTTTGTATTAGACTTTTGCGTGTTGTTTATGTTCATTACTGTAAGAATTATCTTCTGCTATTTCACAATTGTTTTGCGTAATTGTACAATTTTTATTTTTAATATATTTTTTGTCTTATAATTTATATTCTCTCGAAACTCCGTATTTAAATTGGTTCCTGTTATTATTTTGTTTCATAATATTAAGCGCAAATACATTTATTGCTTTTAATTTATTTTCTTTGTGTTTCTTTATATCCCAAACCTTGATACCTTGATAAGTTGATTCAAATACGTGATGTTTAAATTTTATATGTACATATACTATATCAAATATTTCATCGAATGCAATAAATATGGACTACAAAGTGAGCACATTCATTTAGTAAATGCAGCTGCACATTTTGTTTGTCACGCAAGAAAATATAAACCTTAAATCATTGTAAACTGCACTTAATACTAGTTTTAACTAAAATACATACATTTAAATCAAAGCCTGACAAAAGGGAATCAAGCAAAGCTGTGGTCGGTTTTAGGGTATAGAATAAATATGATAATAGTACATGTGCATGCTTTATACTACGCGTAAGAGCAAGTTAACTTGCTAACAAATGCCTGTATAAAAATAGCATGTCACAATTAGAGGAGATATAAAGCAAAATAAGAAGATGATTAGAGAAGTATAATTTACAACTATTTACATTCGCTTATAGCTTCAACATATACAAACAATTCACCTGATCACTGGAGCAGTCGAGTACATGATACACTCAATCTGATCATAGTAGGAGCTAGAATATACCTATACGTTCTCTGATGGAGAAGATATTAGGATTGATATTTGCATTATACTGTAGATACACAAACAGTAGTTGTATCAAGTTGTACAAGTGTAATTATGAGATAAAACGAACTTATAAGTACAGTTCGTTTGATTATATTCCAAACTAAGATATCTAATATAACTGTAACCCTCATCGTTGGACTGAGTATCTTACTAATATTATGAACGCGAAAGTTTGTGAGTTAATTGGGTATTACTAGCATTACTATATGGTGTACTGTATAAGACAGACACGTTCCATATTTCATCTATAAAATATTCCCATGTCATCCCTCACTCGTCTCATACAACTATAATTCTAATAATATTTTCTAGTATCGATTTCTATAATTCAATTTTATCGTTGGGATCATAAAATTGGTTTAAAGACACGACTCTCCCATTCAATTCAAACGGGGATCAAACTTACGACTTCCTGAATCGAGGTTCGAACACCTAGCGGTGCTCTCAGACTAAAATCGTATCCGTTAGGCAAAAGTTTACCTTCGCCCCCTATCGTTCGGTGTAGCTGTAAAGGTGAGCTGTTGCCAACAGCATTAGAGTAGTCTGAAAAAATTAAAATATTAAAGGTTGACTGGAGAAGATCTCTTTTAGCGATAAGTCCTCCTTTGTAACATTCTTTCCTATTAACATAACTAAAAATGTATGTAAGTGCAATTAAAAACATATAAAAAAAATTTAAAGATCTTTGACGCTCGGCTTGCAAAAACAAACGTATCGTCAGTAATTGAGGTTATACGTGCATTTATTGAGCAAAACATATTCTCGATTTGCATTGTCTGGAGAGTTTAATAAATAATTATGAACAGTTATTTAACTGCAATAAGTAGTATTTGGTTAATAATATGGCAAGTCAGAGACCTTTAGTTTTGGACAATATTTATATTAACAATAAATCTTGTTAGATGTATATTTACAAAGCTTACGTGTGAGGAGTCTACTCGAGTTGTCAAAAAAGTAGTAATGAATAGAAATAGTACAAGTGATACTTCTTCGACATATTTGTATTAAATATGTTCTTGACAGAACAGTCGTGGACATTATGTAGCTGGTGTGGTAAGTGGCTGATGTCATCCTCCGTACGACAGGTCGGCATTTTTCGCCGTACGACAAAAGATTAACTATCATACTAATCAGGTATAAAACGACAGTTCTTAGATATGTTTATCATCATATAGGTACTTGTTAATAATAATATTTTACCTATATTCACTTTGTACAAAGTCGTACCATCTCAGCACCACCTGTGGTACCACAGAATGCATGCGTAGGGCTACGAACGTCACATGATGAAGTGATGTCCGTAGTGCTTTTCATATATAAAAGCGATGGTTACCATTTACTGTTTTTACCAATCCAATTATATAAAAAATTAAATAGTAAAATTATCTTTATTTAAATAAACTCCACAAAAGCACTTTTGAATACTCATATTTTGTTTTCTACCACTCATTCGGAACGCAGATATATCCAAGAAGAATGAGCAAGAAACTTGTCTGTTGCTCTTTTGAATAGATGTTATTTAAAGTAAATAATTATACAATAACAAGTAAAAGGCATGCGATAATCAACGTAGAAACCATTAATGGAGACTGCGACCGTTTTACACTATAGTTTTTACTTTAATATGATTTACACTTACAATACTTACAATAACAGACTCCTGGGCTGTCAGCGGATGGCAGGAAACGAGCTCTTCTAGCTGTCATAGCAAGGGAGCAGCACTATGCCACCTGCCTGCAATTCGGCCTGGTGCGGTTCGTCTCCCCGCTGGCGGAGAGAGCTGACTTGATAGCTCCTAGTGATCATCAGCTTCTATTTCAAAATATTGAAGAGGTATACGACGTGTACATTTTGTAGAATTAGTTATTATCTTGTAGAAGTCCATTTCATACTTAATGGATATTATTTTGTTTAATTCCGCTACAATTAGCATATGTGAGATAACGAATATTAAGTGCGCAAACGGGACTATCGCTGCGACCTTCTCTAATGGTGATCAAATTCCAGTTACTGAGTCTACACCCATATTGTGATACGTGTATCGCCTCTGAACGAGGTTTCATCAGGCATTGGATGTAGCTTGGAAGCCTAGTATTGACTGTTCGACGACCAAACCGCGACGCGAGCGTCCTTGTACTTATTAAAATTTGTTTGCAAAAAATATTTTACCGAAATTAATAAACATTTATTGCTTTTACTTTGTAAGCAATGAATTACATTTTGTCGCATAACATTTTACAGTTTATTTTATATAATGAAGGTAGTTTTTAATTTTATATAATATTCAACATATTGCTCGGTAACACTAAATAATATGTACCTATATTCATTGTTTGTAATTTACTTATACTATAAGTGATTTGTTTAAATCTTATAAGAAAATAAAAATATCTTAAAGTAAAGTAAACCGTCAAAAATATTTGACGTTTAGGGTGTAAATGTAAAAGAAACCCATGAAAGTGTAACATTAGTTCATTTTTAGAATTTATCGATTCGATGGTGTTCCCAAAATATACAATATTTTTTCAAAACTTCTTTTTTTGAGTATGATTATTTGTATTTGGTAAGCTATTAGCTCTTACGCTCTTATTGTCTAACAAATCTAATCCAAATCTATTGTTTACAGATCTTTAGATTATCGGAGGATGTTTTAGACCAAATCGTTCAAGATGACGGAGAAATTCAGTCATCGACTGTGGTCGCGGTGTACCTTCAGAAGACCCCTGTGTTCCTTAGCCTTTATAGGAAATATTGTCTAGGATTGAAAAGAGCCGACTGTGTTTTGGTAAGTGTCTTACTTACTACCTTATAAATAAAATCACATTTTGTTCACCCTCAATTCTAAAATTTCTTAAAATATAAATTTAACACTAGGGCAACCTATAGATAATATCTGGAGTTTCTTAATGAATTGAATGATCATATATTCAAACAAATTATGAATGCGAAAGTATATCTGTCTGTATATTTGTAAGATACAAATAACACAGACTATATAATAGAGTTCAACCGTTTAGTCCGGAATAGACTTCCTGAACGGCTGAACGGATCTCAATATGAAGACAGATTGTTATGTCTGTATGTATTCTTTCTTTCAATGTTCGTGGATTCGATTCTTCTCAGGATACAAACATTTCTGTTTGTAAGTATATTTTTCTTATCGGTCTAGGTGTAGGTATTATGGGTATCAAACAGGCTCTGCTTAGCTTGGGTCCAGATGTATTAATATTGTCTTCATATTATTGTTATTTTACTTGTAACAACTAACATTATATATGATAGACGCCCAGTTTTATGCTACATTGATTTTCACTTTTATTTCCTTGTGCTATTAGGTAAAAAAATCAAAAGACCCAAGCGGAGCATTCTCCCGTTTCTGCACGAGCCCGCCAATACCACGTAGAAGACCGGACATCACATCACTTGTACATAAACCGTTGGAGCAGTTTCGGGAGTTACTGAGGCTCATGAGATCCGCAGCCTCCGCAGGCGGATCCGGACTTTATGATCAGTTAGAGAAGAAACAGCTGCAAGTTATCGTGGAACAACTGCAGGTTTGTTATTTCTATCCTGTGGCCATTGCTTGATGGCCTCGGTGGTCTAGCGGTTTAGCACACCGCTTTAAACCTGATGGTCACGGGTTCGATTAGACGGTGCAAACATTTGTATTCATGAGTATGATTGTTTGTATCGGTTTGGGTGTCTTCTATGTATAATACGTATTATTTACAAATAAATATATATCTAAGTATTTATATCAGTTGTCTAGTACCCATAACTCAAGCTACAAGCTAAAAAGAATCCATTTATCGTATCTCTTCAGTTTCAAGAGACTCTCCTTGATGTGAAGCCAAATCTCGAGGTCCTTGGCGTTGATATATCCAGTGACGTTCAGTTTTGCGGTCATTTGGAGGACAAGGCTAAAATAGCCTCAAAAAAGCTTGGTGTGCTCAGTAGAGTGAGACGGTATTTCACGGCGGCCCATCGCTTGCAATTATACAAGGCGCAGATCCGGCCGCACATGGAATACTGTTCTCATCTCTGGGCGGGAGCACCACAATACCAGCTACTTCCATTTGACCGCATTCAGAACCGAGCAGCCAGAATCATTGGTAATCAACGTCTATGTGACAGACTCGACCCATTGGCTTTGCGGCGTGATATTGCATCTCTGTGCATTTTCTACCGCATATATCACGGGTAGTGTTCTGAGGAATTGTTCGGATTAATACCAGCTGCTGAGTTTCACCACCGTACCACCCGCCAGAAACTGAAATACCATCCTGATCATCTGGATGAATGGCGGTCTTCCACAGTGCGGTTTTCTAGAAACTTTTTGCCTCGCACAACCACATTGTGGAATCACCTTCCAGCAATGGTATTTCCGAACCGATACGATATTGAAACCTTCAAGAAAAGAGCTTATTCCTTTTTAAAAGGACAACGTACTTGCAATTCCCCTGGTGTTGCGGGTGCTCATGGGCGGCGGTAATCACTTACCATCAGGTGAGCCGCATGCTCGTTTGTCCCCTGTGTTATAAAAAAAAAGCTCTGCTTACCGTGAGACTAGATGGCGCTGTGTTAATTGTCCAGGGTTATTTCTTTATTATTTATTGCTTAATATAAACTATTATCAGGTGCATCTGATGATTAAAATGGAACTAATAACACAGCAATATCTATATATTGCTGTGTTATTAGTTCCATAACAAACCCGGCCACGCGTTGTTGTGGCTAAGGTTCTTGAATAAAATAATATTGCGACTATAAATTAAAATGTAAGCTATCCCACTTTTAAGTTGGATGAAATTGCACACAATGTGCAAATAAAATTTGCAATGTGTTCAGTAGTTTAGGAGTCTATCGCGGGCAAACAATTTGACTCGTAATTTTTATATATAAAGATGTATAAAGACAAAAACATATATATCAAACATTTATTATTATAAAATTTATAATATAAATATCTACCAAACAGTTCGCTACAGGATATCAAAGGATATGTATTGATGATATAATATTTTCAGAGCGGTTACCAAGATGTGACGGCCGGTTCAGGTTTGATGGGTCTGGCTGGCGATGGAAAGCCATTACTATCGGTTGCTGATCTAGAAAGTCGTCTCGTGTTCACTAGGTGTAAGGTAATATGTTATTTATTTATAATTTACTAGATTTTACCCGCGGCTTCGCTCGCATAAATTAAATTACTGTATGTTAGATGGCGCTGAAGTAGCAAAACGTTGATATAGTCAATTGATTTTAATTGATTTATAACTTCATTACTGGCATACTACATTAATGTAGATAACGTTGAATTAGCAAAATGTCGATATTTTATTTTTTTGTTTTTTTATAAAAAAATATTTGTTTTTTTAATAAAAAGTATCCTATATTCATTCTAGCACCTCCAAGAACATGTGTACAAAACTTCATGACGATCGGTTCAGTAGTTTTTGTGTACTATATATTCTGAAAACTATTGTACCAAAGAAATACAATGTAACTCTTTAATATGGAGAGTACTAAAATATCAAATAAATTTATTAGTTTTGCATAGGTAAAATTTGATAAACTGATTATAATATACTAGCTACCCACCTCGGCTACCATCGCACGGATGTACATGTATTACACATATAAACCTTCCTCTTGAATCACTTTATTAATTTAAAAACCCGCTTCAAAATCTGTTGCGTAGTTTTAAAGATTTAAGCATACATAGAGACGGACAGACAGCGATAGCGACTTTGATTTATACTATGTAAGGATTTAGAAAATATATATTTTTTAATATAGTCTATATTATACATGAGCTGATGCTATCAGGCATTAAGTCCACCGTGTATAGAATTTTATGTGTAAAAGAATAAGTAAATACTTGGCTAAAAGTGTCACTGAGTCTCAGTATCTTTTAAAGGTAGAAGATATTTTTTTCAGTTCTAATTCTTACTTTCCTTCTCAATAAGGAACAGAAGTATTTAATCTAATGGTAGCTTTTAAGTAAAAAGTTAATTGATTATCCATACTGTAAGGGCACTAGTATGAAGATCAATTATCTAATAATTTTGTCTTCTTTACAGCCGTTTGTTCTAAGCACGGCTGGTAGACAATGGATATTTGGTGGAGAGCTATCGAGGATAGAGGGTCGAGCAGTGAGACCATACTGGGCGCTGCTGTTTAGTGATCTCTTACTATTCGCGACAGTATCCAGAGATAGAGTACTGTTCGTCACAGAGGAGCCAGTCGCGTTAGCAACTATTTCAGATGCACAATTCAATGTTAGGAAAAAAGGTTAGAACAAATTATTTTATTTATCGTATTTTACTACTTTGTCATCTTAATAAACTCAGAGTTTTTTAATAATCGACAATTACTGAACAAAATTTCTATAGGTATAATGCAGTATAATATCTCCACCTCCGAGATGTTTTCTAATGTCATAGATATAAAATAACTGGTTAGCGCTACGGACCTTAACAATTGAATATTCGTGAATCCTCCTTCTAAAAAAGTTGTGAGACTGTAATACTTGGGATAAATAAGAGAATCAATATTTACCGGTCATGTCAGTCAAATCATATTCAATTTTAAGTATAAATTAGTTAAAAATCAACAGTAAACATTCAAATAGATCTCAAATTTACTAATTAATTCCTATGTTTATTATACTCCATCTAATCGTTATTTTTTGGGGAATTCCTATAATAAATTATAAAAAAAGTATAAAAAATAGTTCGCAACACTACTACTACTCCATCCTATACCGTTAGACAGACGGAAGCACTATTCCATCATCCTCCATTTACTCCATTATACCTTCTAATAGTAAAGTACTTTTTCAGCGACGGAATTCCGTCTAATACTTGGTCGTTCGGGAGGCGAGAGTCCACTTGTATCGTGTTCCCCTCGTACACCTGGACGAACGCGCACCGTAATCCTAAGAGCACCATCGATAGACCTAAAAGCTGTGTGGCAGAGTTTACTTCAGAGACAAATGTAAGTTATGTGGCATTAATAAGATTGGTAACATATGCTATAAAATTACTGAATCCGAAGTGATGGCATCTTCTTGGCAGTCCTCATGGGAAAACAGTTGAGATTTCCATCGTGTTATTGAAATCTAAAGGCGATATTCAAATTACTATGAAATTAATTGTTATTTGTAAATCATTCGAATTAACATTACAAATACTAAAGCAAACTTGTTTGTTTGTTTATTTATTTCCAACGCAGACCAAGTTGCGAAAATAGTATTAATATATCATCGAAGTAAAATTTTTGTATGTGATACATTTTTGTATGTGAAGTAATCTAAAATAGTTATTTCGTATTTCCATAGATACCGCGCTCATACGATGTCAGGAACACCACTCGGTTCACCGTTGGACTCACCGGACCCACAGCTCACCTTCTCCCTCGCGACTCTCGACTCGCAGCAACGCCAGGTATCCTCGTCCAGCATCCAAAGGCACTCGAGCTTGGCTCTCCTCCCAGCCAGCTCTTACCGTTCCCACCTGAATATGCTAGTAGAAGAACGTCCGGAAAAAGAAGTCAGAGTCAGTTTCGATGTCCGACCCAACTCTGTTTCGCCTACTCCTCTACCTGTCAGGGGTCCATTAAGCACAATATGGAGAACTGCACCAACACCTGAAACACCTTCAGCTAACCTTTCACTGGCTGATTCTCAAACGTTCTCTTCTCATTTTGTGTCTTCCTCCAGTTTAGAAAAGAATGAAGAACCACGTACGTCACCAAGTGCTCAACTTACACCTGACGGAGGTGATGACTATTCCGTGTCCTCTCCTTGTTGTCGATGGGAATCTTTCGAAGCAGATCTAGCATTAGCAGATCTTGACGTCGATCCTTCGTACAAACACGCTGTAGAAGAACGAATCTTTTTACCAGATGACCCTCTTTTACATCGAATGGCACTACCTGAACGGCCTACTCCTCCAGCATATTTGGAACTTTGATCTGCGGAGTCAGATCCGGAGTTAGCGGATTCTTGCTATCCCCGGACATGTGGAAACAAATGGAGATAGGGTTTAGTGGCCTACTCTGTCTTGACCTTTTGATGGTGTGTTCTAGTAGTGTTATGGTTAGATAGCCTGTTGTTTAGGAGAGTCGGTCTACTGATACTTTAGGTCGGTGGATAAGCAAAGCTTTCGTCGTGTAGACTGGCCCATTAAAAGGCGCGAGCAAAATTTGTTGGATTGTTATAAATTTGCTTATAGTTGATATTAAGGTTGTGGTAAAACAAATTTTTTGAGAGACATATTTTCGAACATTAGCAGTATTGAAATGAGATCTTGGTATTTTGATTATATAATAGACAAGTAATAATAAGTCTGATAATGACCCACTTATGATGTTACAGTGTTCTAATACTGTGTATGATTATGACCTAAAAATTTTAACGGTTGTTTTTAACTAATAGAAACTACCAGAACTGAAGTGCAACCACAAAAGGGGTAATTAGAGGTACAACTTTGTTAAGATAACCAAATGTATATGCCAATAATTAACATATAACCATATAGAAATCTGTGTCAAAATTATAACCGTAGGGTACCAACTATGTGCAATATAGCAAGTAAAGTTAAATACAGTAAACCTAGCTCGTTTTCGATGATACGTTCGCTTCTTAAGTCTTCCGTCCTTTCTTACAAATGTATTTTTATGCGCCTTTTTTATCTGTTAATGAATTTTTAAACATTCTGTTCTATTAACTTCTGCTTCCTGTTAATTATATAATGGATTAAGCAATTAATTCCTTATGTCACTCGAGGTATCAATTTTGTAAAGCATGAAACTGACTCGTTTTTAAATCTGTACATGTACAGTCATCTTGTACAGGTCATGTGGATATTTGGCGATCAGCTTCCAACACAATACTACTTAGATTTCATCGTAGAATTACACAAAGCATTTTTGTTTTAACGCTTCTTATGTTAAACGCACTTGTCGCCATCAGAATATGTATTTACAATGAAAAATGGTAGTTCGTGTCAAATTTAATGTTAAATGATTTAGATATTGCTTCTATTTTAGCATATAAATGGAAATTATAGATGGTTATGAAATTTTCATGCAAGTGATAATTACGATTACTTAGATAATAGTAGGTGGTGTTCGCTAGCATCGCAAAATGTTCACATAACCTATTTCGCGCGGGGTTTTCAATATGTATATGACCTCAATTTTTTACTGAACAAATTCGTAGTTAGAATCAATAATTTTCGATGTCTTTGGCTGTGTGTAAATTTTAAATATAGTCTAAATAGATTACGAGAGAAAAATTATAATTTTGAGAAGGTATTTTACTTATAACCCTGGGTTTTTTGTAAGACGCAACGGAATATAATTAATATATAACTTTGGATGTTTATGTTTAGATCGAAACAGTATATTTCTAATTATCCGTAAATAAAGTGATTTTGTCAATGGATATATATTTTTTATTTCGTCACATAATTGGAATAATTTGACATTATGATTTTGCGACGCTAACGAGGTTTCCAATCACATGAAGCCAACAGTTACAATAATCTACCATTTTTCTATGTATCTAACCTATTCTAAAATTCAACGAACATATTATTTATAATAACTACCAAATTGACAATAAACTATTGTACCGTCTAATTTATAATACTCTTGCGTTCCATTAAATATGAACTATTCTTATTGGTGCTTTTCAAAACCGAACGCAATTCGTCTATAAGTAAATAACTTATCTTAAAGTTTGCATTATATATTTGCTGTAATTTATTATTGTTACGTCGCATTAAAATTGTACACAAATTTTTAATTAAATAATACACTTATAATACACTTTAAGAACAATATAATATTGTTCTTTTAAGGACGATTCTAATCAAAAATTTAAGGTGAGTAACGTTTACATAATACCTACCTAAGCACACTGTATTTTGCTATTGTTAAAAAAACGAAGCTGATCAAAATATCCACATACATAAAATCAAATTCAAAGTACAAATATACTATTTCGACTTTTGTATTTTAGACCAGACGTAGCTCAGCGGAGACTCAAACAGGCGCTGGGGGCAGCGCAACTGAAGGTGCGAGAAGTACTAGAAGTAGAGGCTCCACTCTTCATTTGCAGCGGTGGATGACTCAGCTACCTGAAGCTGAGGAAATGGACCCTCCTGAGCCAGATATGGAGGCAAGTAAAAATCAAATATGGTGGTCCAAATAAAAGTCTAAACTCTATACCTCATAAGTTTTAATGGAAGAAAAATTATTTGATATTTATTCCAGAAAATGTGTCATAATTTATTTTTCAGATGTGGAGTATAGAAGAATTAAGAAAAAGGTCCAAAGAACTCAATCTTTTAGAAGTTGCAGATCTTGTGACGAATAATAATGAAAATAAAGGTACATCTGTGGAAAAGAAGGAAAACGATCGCAGTCCGTCAAAAAGTAGTAATTCCGGAAGTCAGGTACTGAAACATTTGCATAAAACTTATATATCCTTATATTTATATTGATGTAACAAATAAACAATAAATTTTCAGATTACAGTACGAACGAGTCCAGTAGTGGTAGATACTATACCAGTTTGCAGACAGTGCCATAAAAAGTGTTTATCAAAACCCAATAGTCCCTTAATTTCACAAAAAGACCCTCTTTTGCCAACTAAACAGAAAACAACACCCTCACCACAAAATTCACACTCAAATAAAAGTTCCAATAGTGGATGTAGTGCGAACTGTGCTAATCGTAAGCCAAGAAATTTTAGTCATTTAGAGCGTAAAGGTGCTATGAAATTACGTCCCGAGGATGCCCCTATGGCAGCCTTAAAAGTGATAGACTCTATTGAGCAAAGCCAAAGAATGTTGAAATCGACGTCGTATGATTTGAAAACTGATTCTCCTATTTTAAATAGATCTACAGCCAGCGTCCATTCTAAGAATAAAACTAAAAGTCAGTTGGAATTAAGGAAAGAGTCTTACAGGTCGCCGAGCCCATCTTCTAGTAGTAGAAATAACAGTCCGCTTTCTACTAGTCATACTACTTGTAGCTCAATGGTTTTTAATTCTAGTTCTAATGATTTAAGAATGTCTAATTCCAATATTGCTAATCAAGTGCAATGTGTTATAGCACAAGAGAAATACTTGAATGAAGTTAAATGTGTTGAAAACATAACTTTGTCTAAGCATAAAGTGTCATCTACAAATTATCCATCACCAGCGACTGCAAGAAAAGAACAAATAACAAGACAAAAAGCAGAGAACGTACTTAATAAAGTACTAGGTATGAATATTATTACAAAAAGAGAAAATGTAGGAACATGTCTTAAAACATCATCAGTTTTTTTATCAGACGACTCAATACATGAAGACGACAATGATTTTAAAATAGAAAGAGGTATAAGAAGATCTCCAAAAATGGGTATATCAGCTGTTAGCAAAATGAATGGAGATATAAATAAAAAGACTGATAAAATTGAGGATGTAAATGCTAACATGAATATGAATGATATAGGATCCGATGATGATTTAGAATTAGGACCACTGATGTTAATGGGCTTATCAGCTATAAATCCAGCAGCCCATCTTATGCGAGTAGAACCTTTCAAAAGATCATCGTTGTCTGGTAACAATGTTTCAAGACCGGGGAGTCTCAGTTCTGCTAAATCAGAGTCTCCTGTCCCTAACATAGCTGTTGTACCTCCAACACCAGATTACAATACCACTAATAATAAGACTGTAAGTTATTTGTCACATTTGTTATACTAATATTCAAATTTGGATATCAATTAAAAATATTATTTTTTGGCTTCAGGATACCTTCTTAGACGATTCACCTGATTCTCCTGACGTACCTGATGACCTCCCTTATGTATCTCTTAAAAGGTTATTACTGTTATTAAAATGTTGTTTACATAATTTACGATATTATTTCATTTCAATTTATTAATTATATTAATTGCTGTTCTATGCATTTATTTAGATATGGCACGATGTCTAGTCTTGAGAGACTACCTTCAGATGAGACTGACGATGGTAATCTAAGACTGACCACACAGGAACCAGAAACATCAAAAGTCTATAATAATCCAGGTAAAACTCTTCAATTATGATCTAATATCGGTATATTGTATTAGTTTTTACGAAAATCCATTTCTTTTAAAGTATCCGGAGCAGCTGGTGGAATCATGGGATGGACAGCGAGAGCTGGGTCTTTCGTTGTTGAAAAAATGAACATTTTCAGTTATACGGAAAGTGTTCCCAACACTTCAATTGCACATAAACAACCATCATTCTTAGAAAGGTAAGTATTTCATAATTATTAGTATTCCCCTCTTCTCAAATATCCATTATTAAACATCCCTAATGGACAATCTGACATTATACCTTATTACATAAAGTATATCGGAATGTGGACTATTATTATTAAAGGAATAATATTTATTTACTATAAATTATATTTTGGTTTCCACATCATAATCTTGATACATGTTTTCCTTTTACTAATTAGGGGGATTTCAACTCTAAAGGACAAAACAAAAAAGCGATAAGTATGTTTATACATCACACACGTGTTGTATTTCGGTATTAGTTTCTACTTTTTAACTAAAAAGTTTAGACAATAGATATACCGTTTTAGAACTTTTAAGTAGACAACCAAAAATTACGTGTTTTAGAAACCATTCTAATGATGGTATAAAAAATTTAATTATAGTAGCGATCACATTGATAAATTAGAAAATATTGTGTATTTTGCAGATAGAGAGAGAACAGCGGAATATAATTCATGATTAACATATGCATTAACTACTAGTTGTTAAAATTAATAGAATAGTTTAAAATTTTGTTATATGTATATTTTAGACAGAGTGTAAAAGTGTATATATGTTTTACTTTAGAATATATGTTGTAATCAAATTAACATTTTAGTTCATTTTCTAATATCAATATCCTATTTAGGTATTTACTTGGTCATTCGTATTTGGCTCTGTGTTGAAGAGTCTTTCATTGAATTTCAATTATTTATTTACTACAAAATTATAGATATATATATATTTATAGACATTAATTTAGTTGATTTCATGTTCACGTATCAAAATTGTAGTTGTAGATTTTGATATGTGTTTATTGTCTTATGAAAGTGTTATAGTGCGTTCTATAGAATCTTAAATTTTGTAAACACCATAGGTGACGATAGAAATATTATATTTAATAAAATTGTTATATTATGTATTAGCTACATAAAAATAGTTATTTGAAATAATAATTGTAGAATAGATGTTTCTATTAATAAATGGCTAACAACAGATGTCTAGGCGTAAGCGATTGGAAATCAGCTCTCGGTACTGAAGAAGGTACAGCTGAAACTGGAGAAGGGAGTGGAGCCAGTGGAGAAGAAGCTTGGGGAACACCATCCTCTGGAGACCTATCTGATAATCTTCCTGATTCCGATCATGGAACACTGTCCGTACGTACCTTTATAAATAAGTATATTCGCATTATCATAATTACTTAAAATTTAATATTTCTAACACTCTTTACACACTTATTATATTTTATAGTATTTACAAAAATGAACAGAATTCTCGTCATCTTTCCAGTCACCAACAAAGTCCTCATCATCGTATGCTGGTGATGATGATACTGAGCTGATGATGGATGAGCTGCTAATGGCGCCAACGATAACTGGACCTACAACTTTAAGACCACTGTTGCCGAGGTGATTTTGCTTTTATTGCCTTTTCCTATGTAGTTGATGTTTCATAATTAAACATGTAAACTGAATTAGTTAGTACCGCTTTTATAACCACACCACAGTTTACAATATTTTTAATTATCTACAAAGTTATACAGTATATGTATTTTGATGCGAACAAGAGTCATACATTATCTTTTTTTTTATTAATTCACACTGCGCCATCTATTATAGTTCCAAGCTAAGCGATAAAACAATCTTTGCTGTAATACAATTTACGAGTATCAGTTCGTTTGTGGTTTGATTCGAGTACGGGTTCAATTATAAACCTAAATATTTTATATTGAAATAAACCAAATAAACTTGCATGCTTAGTGTATATAAAAATCTGTAATCTATATCTGGATATTTTAAATAAAAATCCATACTAATACTACGTTGTAAACGCAGGGATGTTTTCAGAAGAAGACTAGAGCCTCTTTTAGAAGAAGAATGCTCGGACAGTGGAAGTGAAGACAACAAACAGACACCCACTAACTCAGACGACCAGGTGAATATTTTATCTAAACAATTGAACAAAACAAATAAAGCTAAACGGTATTTAGATGGTACCGTATTTGATAGCAAAGAAAATTGTAGAGTACCATTCATATTTGCCTATAAAATAATTACTACACAGTCTATTAATGTTGATAATATTATCTATCAACTCGTATATACAGATTTCAAAATATACCCAATGTGAATATGACATTAATTATAATAATTATAATAAGAATTTCTGTTTGATAGATGATATTAACTAGCTGTTTCAAATATATATATGTATCAATATCCTCATAGCATGCCAATAACCATAAAAACAATATTAATATTGTCAACCAAGCATGCTAGTTGCATGAAATTATATTAATTACTATATATGTTTATAAATGTTAAATTTAGATTCAGTTTGGAGCTCGTCGTTTTTGTACCGTAAAATATGAGTACCCAAAATATTCAGCAATATAATTTAGAGACTTTAGAGTTTCCTTCGCGTAATTTCTATGTACTATAATACATAAAATTTTAAATAAAATTTCAAAGAGCTAAGATCTCATCTTACCGTAGATTTCGTGGAATAACTCTTCCCCTTTTACAGCCCAATTCCCAGTACCCATCAAAATTTTTATATCAATATAAACAAGGGTTATTGGCATATCCCAGTTGGTGTCGCGTAGTCCGTAGCTAGGTGTAATCTCACATTGTGACTGGTCCGCTGGTTGCGGCGCTTGGCGCAGGACAGCGCGCGTGGCCTCGATGCTGACGACTGTTGCGACGCGCCGCACCGGCCGCCCTCTGCTTCAGAGCCAGGTGAGTTATTTTGACGACGTGTACTCCTAACACAATTTACTCCTAATCCATTGACTCACCTTGATCATTCAACAGAATCATACCTCATTGGAAATACTATAATACCAATTCACATAACTACCCTACCATGCATTCACATTGATCTGTCTTGATTTTGGTGGCGGCTATGAAACAAAATAAAAACAATTGAAATATATGAAATACAACATTCAACACATTTAAAAGCTAATGTACAACAGTAAATATGTAAATGTCATTGGTGCATAAAAAAATAAGAAAATGCCAGCCAGTTTTTAAACATTATACTAACAAAAATACATGTTGACAGAAAAATGGACAGCTTGACTAAGACACAAAGGTGAGAAAAAGGAAAAAGAGTCCACAATCACATTCGAAAATGAATATGAAATATACATACATTTAAAGAAAATTTGCACGATGCATGTGTGTCTAATATGAGACAAAATAACACAAATGTTAGCTATTTTAGTACATACCCTTCCATATTGTTGTATTTTAGCACGAATTTCTTTCGTTTGTAGACGTTGCACCCCACTCGTACCTTTTCGTTAATTTAATTGATTACATTATGGTTAATTTCAATGTTACAATATAGAACACATATTATATAAACAAGTGAAATATAGTTTCTATTATTACCACTCAATCGCAGTTTAACCTTACTGATAACACACAATGAAACTACTGACATCACTGATTCACACAATTACACTTTGAAATTGTTCCTAAAAGATGAAATGTTCGCAGAAGCAGGGGACGAGGGTGCGGGCGCCGCTCAAACTGTTGGAGAGGAGCCCGATGGTGGCGCCGCGTTCGAGCTGAGTCCAGAACGGACTCCCACCAACGAGGCGCCTTCGATGCCCTTACAATTTGGTTAGTCGTTAAATTTGCCTCAATATAGAACACATTAGAAAAACTAATTCTGCTTACGCTTTATTTGAATAGGTTTCTATTTTATTCTTATTATATTAGAGAACATTCAGCTAGAATTTTGTCTGCTGTATATGGAGACATTAACTTTGTACGAATTCAAGTATATTCAGCTTAGCATTAGCTTTGTAGGCTTAGTTACAGTAAAATTACAGGGTTCGGAACTAGAATGCTTTATAGTCTTTATGGATCACAACTATGAGAAATACTCTAGCGCTGTTCATTATAATACATTGACAACAATTACGCTTTCAAATAAAACCAAACACGACCCTGAGGGAGAATTACATGAAATTGTTGAAATAAGAAAATAGCGAGCCACGTGTAAATAAGTCATCCATATAGGAGTTATATGTAGGAATGAAGGAAAAGTGAGTACAAAACTTACACCCAAGTAGTAGCACCTAATTGTATGTTTATTTTATATTAAAGCTTCAAAAGAGTGTGTGGAGGTGCGTGCCGGTGTTGGCATCGGTCGTCGGGGCTCAGCCAGCTCGGCCAGCACGCCCTCCACACTCGAGCGTACCACAATTCACAACCCCGTGCACAATCCAATATCTCTAGGTGAGCAATATCCCTACTTGAAACCATCGATCAAGATGGTATTAAGTCACCACGAAGTTACTAAACTTCATGGAGAATTTATCACGATGGGCTAACTGACTTGACCTCATACTCATGTTATCATCTTCCACTAGTGTTCCTCCTGCATAAACCGTCAGCGCAGATGGATCATCTATTAAAAGAACCTATTTAAGATTATTAAATAATAAAGGTATCGTACTACGTTTAACACACAACTTTAAAATAGCAGTACGAGGAGAGATTCTTTTACAAGTAAAAGTACATTTTAAATTAATCCCTTCTTCCTTTAGTACACCTTACTGTAGTTATGATTTCTCCTTACCCAATATTTCTAATTAAAAATTTGTAATAGTAATCTTTATACTTTTTGCAGCATACATATATGATTCAGCAACCGACATCATATTTATAGTTAAATTAAAGATTTCCATGTCATAGTAGTGAATACATTGCTTCGCGTAAATAAGCTTGTAGATACTATTCTCGGCAAGCCTAATTTTATGGCTCATCATTTACTTGTCTTAATTGAGCAATATCTATAATAATATCTCGAGTGATTGCAAATGGTCATAATCACAATACTTCTTTTAATATTAAATGGTTGATAATGTATCATTTATTGCTGTGACAGTTGAGTCTTAATTTGTCACTGTCTAGATTTTCCTTAGTAAGTTCTTATACCATGTACACTACAGCGCCGGAGCCAGCGGCTCCCGAGGTCTCTTCACTACCAGAAGGGAAGCCGCCAACACTGGAGCGTCTAAGTCCACGAGCAGAAATGAGGCTGGCACTGGACCAGGGGAAGGACATGCTGGCAGATCAGGAGGTGTCTTGGGTATTACGGCGTTGCAATAAATTCTAAATAGTAATAGAAATAATCTTTATTTAAGCAAACTTAATATGAGATTATAAACATTTTAGAACAAGCAAGAAACTCGCAATTTGCTCTTGCGAAATTACAAAATAAAATAAATAAATAATTACTTTCTTGCTTAGAATACGCACTGGTACGCAACCTCAGTCCCTCGCGCTTCTGCGGTTACTGTCCCAATCCCGTAACTGCAATATCTCTATATCTCACACTCATTCTACTCCTCATAAATCTATCTTTCTTTTCCAAATTCTCCATTCCCTTTCCCTATATCGATGTTAGTATAATCACTATACGATGCATGTTCAAGGAGGATTGACGTCAGGCCGGTCAGAAAAACTGAATTCAAAACCATTCTCTTGTAATAAGACGCAGATGTGTTGTTAATAAAAAATTTTGAATGACCAGGATGGCGGGTCCGACCACTGGTCGTTTCGCGCGGCGTGCCAGAAGTCTCTGCTGCGGCGAGTGGCGAGCGCGGACGCGGTGACTCTGTGCCGCGCACACCCGCGCCGCACCGTCCCGCATACTACTTCGCGCAATTCTGTATATGCTTGGAAGCGTACGTTTATTTTTATAAATTATTTAAATCCGTTCTTATAAAGAGCACTTGTTCAATAAATACGCCTTTTTACCGTCTACCGCTGATAGGCTTTAAAGAGTAATGTGCGTTGGTACCTCGGTTTCAGCAACTACGCAGATTCTTTTGTCAGCAGTATTCCGGTAAAAGGGTCAGATAGGCAGTAAAATTACAGAATAAGGTGCATGACGCAAGTTTTGCAAGCTGTGTATTGGTGTAAGGGTCGGTTGTAGAGTCAGATTCGGCTGTGACATTACAAAATAATAGGCATAAGATCTCAGTCCTTTGGAATGGCAATGCATAAGTGGTATGACGGATGTCAAGTGATAACGTAATGTCAGTAGTACCGTGTATGTATTTAGGCGACAATTACCGCTTACTATCAAGCGGATCATCAGATTGTTTGAAATTCTGGAAGAAATTGAAGGTCACGGTCAAGAATAATATCATTCTAAATATCTCTCATTAAACTAGTGGTTAGATACAGATAAGATAATATTTCATGCTAATGTGATCTTTAACACTGTACGTTACAGTTCCAGAAAGCGAGAAACTTATGGAGATGGAGCAACTGGCACGAGCGGAAGTTCAGACGATGCGTTCGCGGACGCGCTCTCTATGCCAGAACGGGAAGATGTGAGTAACTGCTAAACTAAGGGTTTTTGCAATGACTTTTCTATAAAAGGTGCACTCGCCTGAATTAACGGCATATAATGTGGAACCCCATACGATAATGATGAAGTCAGACTAGTTATAGGCTAACTATCGTGACCAATTTACTATGATGGATTCCAAGGATGAACCACCAACCATGCGATGTCGACCTGAGCCTTGACACCAGTAGTTCCCATTGGTAACAATCCACTAGTGACACATAGGCTAAGTTAACAATATTACGCGTGATATGATAATTAATGACAAAAGGGGTTTGTTAGTAGTCTACTGGACTGATAGCCCCATGACTAGCAATGTACCATGTCAGGTTGCCCCCACCGTCGTCCTCCATTGATGTGTCACCAGCGTAAACCGTAAACGCAGGCTGACGTACTCTCTTATCATCAATCAAAACTTAATGACTTACACCCGGATAGCACTCATGTCTTACAAGGCAATAACGTTATTAAATGTATTAAGAGTCAGCTCTTCAAAGAAAACTTTGTTGTTTAATCATTTTATGTCCTCATGGCCTTGCAACAGAATGGGTTTCCTTCGTCGTCGCGCATCATCCGATAGCCCCCGCCGCTCACCGCTGTTCCCCACAGCGGACGCACCCTCGGGGGTCGCGGGGGGCACGGTGGTGGGGGGAATGGGGGGCGCGGGCCGGCCGTTCTCCCCGCGCCGCACGACCGTGAGCAACAACGGCTATTACAAGATATGCTTTGTCAATGGCTATGTGTGAATGCACCCGCACATACACTAGCTTGTGCCAATCAGCTGGATTTAAACGTTCCAAGGAAGTTTCTCCATTCATTACGACTTGTACTGTTATTTTATGTCCTACTTAAATTCCATTATCAATATTTCCATTGTACCGATGTCATATAGAGATGTAAGTACTAAGTACTGATCTATTTAAATTTTGTTTATAATATGGAAAAACTTCCAATGTGGATTTAAACATTCAGGTATATTTATAAAAAATGATCAAGGAACTTCTGTTAAGAAAGAAAATAGGAATTATATTCTTATAATTGAAATGGAAACAGAAATTAGAAGAGGAAACGAAAGTAATTAGTGCATAAGTAAATAGATACTACTTTAAATATTAAATTTTCTCATCTCGACACTGCCTTTAAATTGTTGAACTATTTTATAAAAGGCTAGTAGGTAATACAATTAATAATAAACGAAGATCGAACAACGTCCTTTCTACGCAATAAGATGAAGAATTGATTAACAATAAATAATAATATTTCTATAAAGAGACGTGATTTAAAAAAAGTAGTTTTTTATATAAAATTTAGGTGATCTTGATGAAAAGTAGTGAGATTGTGTGTGAAATTATAGTCAATGTAATGGCCAATAAAATTGCCTTCTTAAAATTCAAAACTTTTAGAATTTGAATTGTCATTGTTAATTAACTAAAGTAACATTTCTAGTTGAAAATGTTAATGTTTTTGAAAATATTGTCTTTGCTTATTATTCCTAATAACTTATTCAAATATTTCGTAAGTTGTTATTGATCATGTAATTCGGCACTGAATAACTCGATGTCAATTGTTCTACGTTTTCATACGGACTTTAGCATTGATGTTTAAATCCAGCTTCTTAAATTATGCTAAATTCTTTGTTTTTTGTTAGTTGTTGAACTTATCTGTCCGTTTTAATTAGAACGAGTGTTCTTAAAAATATATTTTTACCAAAAATTCACTGCGCTTTTCATTCTTCATCCTGCAGCTGAAGCTAGAACCTTCCCAGTTACTTCACTCATCCTCCTGTTAATTTATTGCTAATCCAATGTCTACGCTCTACTTTCTATTTTACATAATTATTTAGTTTTGCTATTACATTCATGTGTCTCTGATTTAATTTCAATTTGGATAGTAAACCCGTACAATGTCGCTAATTACAATAAAATCACCAAAATGCAAAATATACCGAAATAAACGACCAATATGAAGTAATGTTAAGCACATTTATACACAATTATATACCATAGCGTGTGTTTAATGTTCTTACAGGAGAAACAATTCGAGAAAAGGTTCTGGAAACAAGTGACTAGAAGACGTCAATCTTGTGGCTCCATAAGCCAAATATAATAAGGAACCTAATTTCACAAAAATGGTCGTACCAAGTGTTCATGTACTAATGTTACTATAAACAAAAGTAAAAATAGCTGATATACTAAATTAGAGACTGTAATTAATAATTTTATTCGATCTGTGTTTAAGTTTCATATCGACAAAATAGATTTCTGACTGCCAATCTATTATAGATGATTTAGATACAAATTCTGTTTATAATAGAACGTCATTTGTCTCCAATAACAGATATGTTTATTAACAAGATTCTAAGATTTTAAAACATGGAGACGGTTGCCAAATGATAACAGAGGTGTTGATAAGAAATGCCAAATAAACTGACGACAAGGGACCTGTCCACTTTCCTTCATATCGTAGGTAGATAAAATGATTATTATCACATTTGGTGGAAGCCCGATATTAGATGTATCGTTAGATAGAATTTCAACTATATTAGATATAGTGTACATAATATCAAAAGAGCGGTTTAAAGTTTCTCGAAGTAGCTGTACAGTATAGGGTGATAGAGTTATTTTTATTAAAGCTTGATATAGTAATATTGACTGTGGATAATAATGTTTTAGCAACTTGTTACGCTATTTAGATTTATTAACAAAGTGACTTGTACAATGTTTTGTCGAAATGTGATTATTGTAATATATTATCTGAATATATATAATAGGTATATCTTACGTCCATTTTTCTATTTGTTAAAATAAGCGCTTATACTTTAAGTAGCACAAATTGCGATCGAAATAAATATTTTAAATTAATTTATATTTGATATAATTGATATTATGCTTTATTGTCTCAATTAGATGAATTTTATTCACGTATACTTTCATGTGACTTTTGTAGATACGTGTGAAAATTTAATGGTATAAACGAATTTATTAAACTTTGAATTGTAATTTTAATCGCATTTAATTTGTATGATTCTTCGTTGTTTCAAACATTTCAATAAAACTTCTTAAATTTCCAGACGTTTTCTTTAATGAATACCTAACAATTTTGCATTGCAGTACGAAGAGGATCAATGAAAAGACACAATGAATTGTTAAAATACTTATATTTCAAATATCAAAAATCATGCAATCATTTTGTAAGTACGTCATCAATATATACTTTGTCTTATGTAAGTAATTTATTATTATGTAGATTTCTTATAGCACCTGTTTTATATCCTATTGTTCTTTTCTACTCCGAGACAACACGTACAGTTATACAATTTACAGCTTAAATTTTTAATTTAAATTACATTTGTATTTTTGTTTATCTTGATAGTTATAGCTGATTCCGAATATCATCCATGAGGAACCATCCTTAGATTACATACTAAATTACATGTTAAGGGTTGGGAAAGGGGTTGACGATTGTGATATTGAGTAACAAGGGATGGAAAGAAAAAAAATCGTGACTTAATAAATTCATATTATTTTGTTCCGCTAACATTAGCATGTGTGAGACTATAAATCAATGCGGAAACTTGACATCTACTACTAAGAAACTAGAAGCGTTACGACCGGAATTTGATCACCAATAGAGAACTATTGGTGATCAAATTCCGCGTCATTAAATCCACGCCCATATTGCAATAGAGGACGAAAGTGGGTATCAAAAAGCATGAAAAAGTAATATGAGCATGGCCCCTCTAAAATACATGCTCTAAAATATATGAAAGTTGTGGTTCTGGATGAATAAATTTATCACAAGAAAACAATAGGTATAGAGCTTTGTGTTGAATAACAAAATGAACAAAGATGAGTAAAAATTAATAATAAAAATACAAGTTGTCCCGATGAAAACAAAACATACTAAACTGTTACAGTTAGTTGAGCACACTTACACGTTCCCGTCGCCATGCACCTAACCCCTCATTGCATAGCAAACGAGGCAAGAATTTATTAACAATTCCTTCCAGAAGAATAAAATCGGGTACTTCCTTTACACTGCGTCAAAGTTTGCCAACAGATTTTATTATATATTTTGCATATACTTTCTGTCTCCAGTACATCTCTGGTACTTTTTTACGATTTACTTTCTGTCCTCATTTTCTAATATATGAGCCTGGCACAAAAGGTGATAAAAATAACGACCGATTGCCATAGAAGAAAAGCAAGTTGACGGTCAACTGATGGTAAGTGGTCACCGTCACACAAACAACACTTTCTTGTGACGCCGGTATACCACTCATGCGTTGTCATTTCGGAGGAATATAATGTCATACCTCTTATTCCATAAACTCGCTCTTCTGCCTACATGAACATCCAAACTAATACAAATAATCATATTTAATAATACAAATATATGTACTATGCTAGGATTCGAACCTGCGACCTAAAGTAGAACGTGCTAAACCGTTAGACTCCGAAGCTTTAAACGAGCTATAAAAAAAGGACACCAATCATATAAAAATTTTGTCTCTTGCCTCATCCGCTAGGCTTCTAAACATCCCACTTACTTAAAAAATATAATTAGTATATACAAATTATTATTATAAACTATATTAAAATAAAATCATCATAAATTTCAATATTTTTTATGAAGAACAATATTTTTATCATTGTACTATTTTAATAGTAAATTAGATACAATACCAGGCATCTTTGAATTGTATATATATATAATAGTGTTTTAATATTATGTATTATAAACTTATCTAACACTGGTCATAATGTTCAAGAAGCTTTTTATATATATAACCTAAAAAAAAGTATACTTACTGAAATATAAAAGCTATATTCACATTATGGTTTATGAGGAATAAAAAATTATGTTAGGGAAGCAATATAAACATGTATTTTGGCACAACGTTAGTTTGTAATAAACTATTAAAATTTTAATTACATGCTTATTAAATCAATGTTATACTATTCTTATATACCTATCTATAGAATATTAGTGTTGCCATATCAAATATTTGTGTATTATTTTTCATATGGTGTTACAATTGAAAAAATATTAAAATCTACCTTTTTACGTGTGTAAGTATAATATCTTTTTTAAATATATGTTTCTTATGTTTTATTATAACATAATTATTGGAATTATAATGAATAGATATAATATTATGATATCCCTGGAGAAATCACACACAGCGCCATCTAGTGCCAAGTTAAGCAGAGCTTGTGCTATAGGTACTAGGCAACGGATAGACATATATACATATAAACTATAAATACATAAATAATATACAGAGACAACACACAGACCGATACAAACAATCATACTAACGAATAAATGTTTGTACCGAGCGAGGAATCGAACCCGCGACCATCAGAGGTATGCTAAACAGTCACACCACTGTGCGTCACACGTTATTATTTGCTAAAATAAATCTATTAATATATTACTTATAGTTATATATATATATTGTCATATACGGAAGGCAGTGAGGTTTATCACTTGAGTAATTTGAGCATACGTCACTTGGGTGTAGCCAGGACTTTTTCAGGGAGGGGGGTGAAGTAAAGTTGATGACAACAATAAATTTAAAAAAATGTATACAATAAATTTTTGCTCTAAAATTCATTTCAATCTAGGTAGGAAGGAGAGGCGTACCTCCGCTCTTCTCTTCTTATACCTGGCTACACTTACGCACCTATGATACGTCATCAACACTTTAAAGAATCGATTTAAATTCATCATTCTCATTCATTAAAGACACTTTCCTTTATCTTATTATCAGATCAATGCAGAAATAAATCTGACCTCACATTATTAGGATCTGACAGTTCTATCCTATTCTAATTGGCCCATTTCCAACCCACTTGTGGCATAAGACTAAATCCACCAATCAAATAAGGTTACATAAGCAGTAGTCCGAGTAAACCGAATAATGTGAAGCCAGATTAAATCAGTAAAGTTGCAGTACCCAATGCATGGAATACTTCATTCTGACGCAATTACTTTTTATTGCGAGCATTAAGCTTAATATTTAAAAGACATTCCAATAGGCATTGGATAAATTATCTAATGACTATTACAAACTGTTCATAAGTCTATTCGCGCCATTCCTTCGTGGCTTGGAATGTGCGTACTTCTGATGACGTAAATGTAGTCAGTCCCTGCGGTCCTGGAAAGAATATGACATACTTATAAAATTTTGAAATGCAGCGCTGTGAGAAGTCGTTAGCATGGGTAAATGGGTCGTATAGTCTACGTCCTATTCTCAGATCTACCGAAAATACACATATAGGGGGAGGGTAATGGAAGAAAGATGGGGGTAAATTTCATAAGAATCGGTCATACCATTTTCAGGAGGAAACAAAACATCTCAATATGATGATCATCACTCTCTAATGCATCGCCAGTTTAGCTTTACAAATGGAAGGGTGCCGAATGTTGACAGAAATATTACAAGTGTTTACTGAATATGTAAATGTTTTTTTGTACATACCTCTGACTCGTCGACCAGGCGTAGGTGTGACGTCACCGTCCGGAACCGTCCATTGTTCCACCACTTCGGTCGCTGAACGCGCCAGCGACGGCTGACTCACAGACCGATGCAATGAATGCCTACCCCACGACCTGCAATAACAAAAAACTTATTGCTCGATTCAGAACGAATATCTACACATTGCAGTGAATTTATAACACTAGTAAGTTCATTAAGGGGGTCTTCCTATGTGATGGGTTGAAAAAATCGATTTTTTTTTTTTTCATAAATTGCTCCCTTAACATGTCTAGATTACGGTAGTAAAGCTTATATATTTTAGAAAATTCGAAGTCGTTTTAAAGATACACAGGTAAAAGAAAGAGCGGTTCGGAGCGGTGAGTTGGCAGTTATATACCGGGCCTATTGTGTACCGTCGGCTTTATACCTGGCCTCCCTTTTATTAATATATTTGTTTATACAAGTTTAGACACGTTTCTACAGACTTAAACAGAAATTTCTATTGTTATAATATTTTACCGAAGTTATTTTAGTCTTGGTTGAACTTCGAAGAGAGCAACAGCTACAAATTATTTTTTCATAATGAGTGGACGGAAAGGATTGATTACAATAGTAGTGTTAGGATGACCTAAGTACGAGTGGATTGGTTCTTCTGATGAAAACCCTCAGCATCAATTTTGTCCAGAAGGCGAAGACAGTTGGTGTAAATGGCGTAAGGCTGAAGCTAATAATGAACTGGACCAATTTCATCACGATAAACCACCTCTAATTCCGCAAGTCCAAGAATGTTAGATATATCAAACCGGTTTTCGAAGATTTATCGAAAGACGAATTATTAATTCGTTGTTTAGGAGCAGAGACACAAAACAATAACGAATCTTTGAATTCTTTGATTTGGACTTTCGCTCCTAAACATCTTCATTCTGGTCCCAAAGTTGTTGAAATTGCTAGCTACTTAGCAGTTATTATCTTTAATGAAGGTTTTCAAGGTATTTTAAAAGTTATGTCGATTATGGGATGCCCTGTTGGTCGTGAAGCCCAAGCGTATGTTGAGAAACGGGATGAAAAGCGAATCTTACGCTCTGAGCGGCGCGTAAGTGATGTCGTTAAACAAGCCAGGATTGACTCAAGAGCTGAACGAAATTCCCAGGGTAGTTGCGGGGGTACTGGCGACACCGGTTGTGGAGCATAGGAAACTCGAAGGACCCGACCTCTAGGGAAAATTATGAAATTTCGAAAATCCAAGATGGCCGCCGAGATGGGGGCGTGTGAATTTGTTCCTAAAAATCCGGATTATTTTCAAAGAGCAACCCCGCAGCTTCAGAGTTTCACGAGGAAGAGGAAGGAATACTCTATGGACCAGGCATCGCCGATTGAGAGTAAGTTGATATTTTAATAGTTTTTAACGGACTTGAAACTTTAAACGCGTTTTTCTCAAAACTGTGTTTTTCAAACTTTCCTCCATTGTATCTCAGAAACGGCTGGACCGAATTACTTGAAATTTACAGGGCACACTCAATATATGTAAACGCATGGAATGAACTATTATCAATCGTAAATTTTTTTCGATCAAAACTTCGATTTTTTTAAAGCAAAAAAAAAAAAAAAAAAATTTCCAACTTTTATTTCAAATGTCTATCAAAAATCCAATTTTTTTTATATTCATTTGATTATAGGTCATTCCGTGCTTTTAAGCCTACAAATTAAAACGCCGTTTTTTTTTTTTTTTCAGATAAGCCGATCAGCCGGAATCGTGGAGGAAGTGGGAGCTCTTTTTTTCGAGGCGGGGGTGTTCAGAGCGCTGTAACTCTAGTTTGACTGAATATTTTTAGCTGAAATTTTATATTTATACTGTCCAAATATGTGTTAATAAATGATAAAAAACTTGAAGCTCTAAATATTTACTGGTCGTAGAAAAAAAATCCTGGTATGAAAAAAATATCCCTAAAAAAACAGGCCGTCACATAGGAAGACCCCCTTAACCTTAGCGCACACGCTCCGTGACGCGTGAGACCGGAGATACATTCCCCGCGCAGACGCCGCGGAGTAAAGACGTGGAGGTGTGGCTAACGAGCCTATATTATGGCAATAACAGCTAATACTAGGAGTTATAAGATGACTTAGATAAAAAAATAAGTGAATAAGTATAATACACACACTATATACATAATAAAATTGTATAATCTAAACGATGCGAATACTGTTATATATGTTTTCGTCTGCAGGGAATAGGATGAAGTTTTCACATAATGTTAAATATGGGCAATATACACGCTGGAGTAAGGTGCTAGTAATAGGTAATAATAAAAAAAAACAAGTATGTAAAATGCCTTTATACAAAGTTTCGGTAGTTAAAAACACGAGTATGTATATTCAAAGTTTAAGTTTTCACTAGCGATCCGCACGGCTCGGTCATTGTAGTATAGGCGATTTTTAATTTTTGTTAGGAATCCCAAAAATCTGTACTTGGACACCAGGCGTACATGATACAGGGGGTTTCACGTGTTCTGCAGTGAATGCCTTTGAAGAAAGTAAAAGCGAGAAAGAGGAATCATTGTTAATACTCTCCTAGCCGAGCCGGGTGCACCACTCCATTATCATGCATATAAAAAATCTATCATCAATAAGTAATAAATCACACCACTCGATACGTCTACTCTTTCTGAGCGGGGGGAAGGGGATTGTTAGTAATGTGGACTCATAACCCATGACCATATTACTAGCAATGTACCATGTCAGGTTGACCTCCACGCGGTTCTCCCTGGTCCAACTGGTGAATTTGTCACAATGGGCAAACTGACCTGACCTCATGTTCATCTTATCATCCTCCACTGGTGCCCCGCCAGCGTAAACCGTTAGCGTAGACGGGTGCACCATTCCATTATCATCTATACTCTTTCTTTATTATGTTCTTATACTATCAAAAACTGTGACTTACTGGCTCGGATGGAAGTGATGCTCGGTGTCGCTGTCATCGTCGTAGTACCGGCCGAGTTGTGTCCCCGCCGAGACCTCGGAGTGCGTGTCCGCTTGCTCACGGGCGTAGTCCACCATCATCTCTGACATCGACCTGACAATCAAACATTTGTTTTAAAGTAATTGATTACAATAGTAGTGTTAGGATGACCTATGAAAAATGTTTTTTTTTTATTTATTAATTACACAGTTTTGGGATGACCTAGTCTAGTAACTAGTTTAGGTAAGGTAAATATCGCTCTTCCATAGAAATAGAAATAGAAATAATCTTTATTCAAATAAAGTGAATGCAAGCACTTCTGAATAGTCATATTTTGATTCTACCACTCATTCGAAACGCATCACACGAAGAATTAGCAAGAAACTTGTGTGTTGCTCTTTTGAATAGATGTTTTTTTTATATAAATAATTACGCAATAACAAGAGGCATGCGATAATCAACATAGAAAATCGCTACGCGAATATTGTCAGCGCTATGGATTTTAAGTTTTACTATAAAAACATTATTATCGTTAACGAATTCTTCAATTTTATAGTAGGCTTTTTTTACAAAGGAAGTATTTTATATGACATTTAAATATTTTTTCAGCACTTTCCTAAAGACACCCTGGAACTCATACTATAAATGGAGCGAATGGTCCTCTTTTATGTCTCATATAAATTATTTATATATATATGTGTTTTTAAAAATAGAAATTTAAAACATTACTATCGAACTATATATACACATTACTAGTATGAACGTTACCCTACTAAATGTACTAAACTGATACCGTTCTGACTCGTCACGACACGTATAAATAAATAAACCTTTAATAAAAAACTGAAAAAAAATATTAAACTGACCTCATGTCGACGTGGTCGCTGCGGTAGGAGGAGCGACGCGAGCGTTGCGGGTCCCGCAGTGAGGCCGCGTCGCTGTCGTACTCGTACAGCGTCGGCAGCGAACTGCGCCGGGACCTCGAGTCCCACTCGCTCTTCTTGCGGTACCGGTTCTATTCCCGACGCAAATTTCAGTACAACATCATATTAATATATGATTATCGGTACATCATCATATTAATATGTAAGTGTCAGTGTATTTATCATTTAATTTGACGGCCTCGGTGGTCTAGCGGTTTATCACACCGCTTTAATTCCGATGGTCGCGGGTTTGATTCCTCGCCCGGTGCAAACGTTTGTATTCATGAGTATCATTGTCCTTAATGTTCAATGATATTATATACTAGCTGCGCCAGCGGTTTCAGTCACGTGAAATTTATAACCTATATGTTATTCTGATGTATATGCTATATTACTGTAAAATTTTATCAAAATCCCTTCAGTAGTTTTTGCGTGAAAGAATACAGAGAGGTAGGTTAGGTTACATTTTGTATTGCTACTCAGTAGTAATTATTGCTTCAGACTATTAGCTGAAAAGTAAGATGAGGTAGGCAAGGAGAATACTTTCGCGTTTATAATATTAATAAAATGTATTTACAAAAAAAATATCTAAGTGTTTATATCAGTTATCTAGTACCCATAACACAAGCTCTGCTAACCGTGGGACTAGATGGCATTGTGATAATTGTCCAGAGTTATTATTATTAATATGTGAAACAAAATCAGATATATATTATATAAAGGCATACACGTTGGTACTTTAGTGTTAACTATTTTAGATACCAACAGCTTGTTACATGTGTTTCGATTAAAGAATACGAAATATTAGCGTCCCCAACATAACCTCTAAAAACACATTTTTGGGGCGTTTTTCAATATTTCTTGTTATAAATTAAAGACTTTTATCTATTAGGTATCTAAACATGTACATGTAATTATGGACTAACCTTCGGCCTGTCTGGCGGTGGTGCGAGGATCCGTATGATGACCTCCCACTTGTGGGGTGCGTACAGCGGCGCGAACCGGTGGTCGTGCGCCACGCGTGTGAACTCATCCCGTGAACTCGCCCGTGCGAGTTCTCGCCGCAGCGTATTCTCATGTGAGATCAGCTCGCGCCAGCGTAGACGCTCCGCGCGAGTAAGACGCATAGATCGCTCCGTCTCGCTCACCACCTGACAATGTCATGCCCATCAGCGGCTTCCATGCACAAACCTTCAATCGATCTTTCGCCCGTCCAATTCAAACGAGAATCGAAATCGGTCCGAGCTGACTCAGACTAAAGCTTGACAATGTCATATCTATCAGCGGCCTCCACGCACCAATTGGACGCTCCTCCAATATATCCCCCGTCCAATTCAAACGGAGATCAAAATTACGATAGCCAGAGTTTGAACCCCTAGGTGCCCTCAAACTAAAGTCGTATCGGTCAGGTAGGATTTGGCCTTCAGCTGCTCCATAAGTCCTTTCGCAAGTTTAGAGTGCCATTTGCACTCGCCTTCTATCCTTCTGTGAAGCCGTAAACGGCAGATGGGGCCAATAACTTTAGAATATAGACATCATGTTATTATGTGACATGCGTGATTCGTTGTTATTCCAATGGCTAAGATGATATAGCACCATGTAATTCACTGCCTTATCTACATACTTCGACCGAATCACCGCTTATAAAGCAGGCTGTGCAATGGTTTCACGTGGTAATTATGACCTATATATAGGCAACGATTACTACATTCATCAGTTTCTTTGCCATTCTAATTAGATAATATTTTTTATGCAATTATTTACCATAAAATTCACACACACGAAAACAACACGTGAGTATAAAAATAACAAATCTTTCTATAGATAGGTCGTCGACCGTAGAAAACCATCTGCTTACCACAAATGTAATCAACTACTTACTTCATCCTGTGCTTCAACTTTCAACACTCTGGTCAAAACACTCCAGTTGGGTGGCACTGGAGGTGCTGGTATTGGTTCTGGTACATCCTCATCATCCTCTTCCCTGTAGAGCGGGTTGCGAGCGGGAGGCAGTTCTGGCAGTATTGGCAGCTCGTTGGGCGACCTCGGGGGTGGGTACACATTGCCTGTCTGCTTGATAAGCTCGGGGGAGAATAAGTCCGGTCCGCCTTTTCCTAGAGATGAAAAATAAATCAATTTAGATTTATGAATCCTTACGGTGGTCGTGGGTTCGATTCCTCGGAGGGATGATACTTAAAGGGTTTAATCAATCACCACCAAAAATATGTAGTAATTGGAATGAAAAAATAGAGAAATTACTTTTTATCCCTGTTAATCACAATATGGGCGAGTAAAACTAGTAAGAAATATTTTTAAATTGATGTCAAACTTCTTATTCACCTATATACTTCTGTGGCGGCAATGACAATGGAACTCTCTCCATCTTCGGCGTGAGCGTCATTCCCGAAGCGCTGCTGATATCTGAGAAGTTCTCCCACTGCGCCTCAGGCAGTGTATGGTTCCGTATGGTGACGTCGAACTGCGGCGGTGACGGTGGCACTTGCTTGTACTCTGTCACGAGCCGCTTGTGCCTCTCGATGTCTTCGATGGTCTTCTTCTCGGTGATCGTGCGAAGGAACACATCGTCCACTAAGTGAGACGTAATTTCTGGTTTCCTGAAAACATTTTTTCGAGTAATTTTAATAGCGAAAGAGCTGACGTGGCAAACAGGGATTGAAATTACGATAGCATGTGCCAAGGTTTAAACCCCTAGCAGCAACCTTAGACTAATTTCCTATCCGTCAGGTAGGAGTTATCTTTCAGCCACAAGTTTTTCCGCGGGCTTGGAATGCCTCCTATTGGTGAATCTGTAAAGGTCAGCTGCAGCTAACAACGTTAGAATAATTCGTGAAAAAAACACCACAAGAATAACTAATACCTTCAACTGCCTGAATTGAAAATCGTGAAATTCTTTAAAAAGGATTATTGCAGGTATATATACCACCAAATTGTTTCGCTGACAGTATTAAAATAGAATAATGCTACACTAAATCGTGTACTTTAAACAACTGGAAATTAAGGGCTGAAGATTGTGCCTTGGGAAAGACCAATATCCAACAATGGACTGTTCAACAAACTACAGTGGGCTGTTCAGAATGATGAGGATGAGAATGTAATCCAAAAGCTTACCTGGCTGGCATAATTGGTGTTTCTGGAATTGGTTCGAGACTCTCCATTAACATCTCTTGCTCCTCCGTCTGCAGATGCTCGCTCATCATTGGAGGTGGCGGGGGTGGTTTCTATACCATTAAAAGAAACTATGATTACTAAGTAGTAATATAATGTATGAGTTATAATTGAGTAATGCATACTAATAGGAATAGCACATGTTATTATTGTGTTAACTACAAATGAATGATTTTATAATCTGTGGATATGCAGATTGTTAAAATTATATGTAATTGATTGTTTATTACTCGTTTAAACAAAAACATACTGTAGACAACTAGGAACTATACATTTAGCAAGTAAATAAAAAGTATGCTTTAAACGTAAATTTGTTACTGTCGTTATAACAATGAATTCTAAATTCAATCCTTATGCAGCTTGTATATCTGTAATATTGGACCTGACTATAAAAAGCATGAAGTAATAAAAAAAATCCTTTTCTTATCCTTTATTTTCTTATCCTTAATCCTTTAATCCATGGTTTTTAACATGGCGCCCAACGTGGGACTACTATTTTTATATTCACGTTGGTACCCCATACCTATAGCAATAAGTTTGTTTTACATAATTTTTCAACTTTCATCAATTTTAATCCTAATACCGTATTTGGATACCTTCAAAAAAAGTAAAAAACTAAATATGAACACATTTTATATGCAAATGGTCATATAATATATATATATATAATAGCATTACCATTTGCATCCATACATATATAATACAAATTTGTGTCTGTCAGACATTTTACAAATGGACTGCTGAACAGATTTTAATGAAATTTAATATATGGTTTTACGAGGTTGAACATAGGATATCTTTTATCTTTAATATCTGAAATAGGGTGTAATTGTAACATCTAACTAGTAGTTTAGAGATCTTGCAAGGCAATTGTTTGGTCTTTTTTCAGTGTTATATTGTTATATATTTATGAAGTGTAAGTAATTTGATGGTATGTTAAAATTACCTTTATGTGGAACATCTTGGCATGAGATCGGTCAGTGACCTCTGTAACGGAGTGGGTATCCGTCATCTCGGTGTTCAATGAGACTATAGATCTCGGCGGCCTCGACCACTCCTGGTTAGTCATTTATGGAGTGCTTAGTTTGATTGGAACTATCTTATGTATATGCATATATAAAAGGTAGAACTTCGAAATTTTATCATAATGACTTATGCTATTAGCAATTAGCAACATAAGATATAACAGTTGCCAATAAACATATGGCTATTGTAATCAAATGATGTATAAAATTTATCAATAATGAATCGTTACCTATGCACATAGAACGATATAGTGCCTTTTGGACTCTAAATCATTTTAACAAGCCAACATACCGTCGCATATTATATTCCGAATGAAGTAATCAGGGACATTGTAATTTATTGACGTCATGATGAACGCAATATTTGACATGCATACATTTTGTAAGATATACTTTGAATCCAATATGGCGAGCCTACCGACGTCTTTCGTATTAAGTTTTTGGTTTTGTTATCAGTGTTTCCTTCACCAGAAAGTCAGGCAGAAATATTAATCGACAAAGTTTTTTTGTAGGCCAGAATTTGAGAGAAGAGAAGTGGAAATGGGGCAACAATCTACTAGGTGACGACGCTGTCCTTCTATCATGTACAGTAGTAATAGATTCATTATCGATGGAATCAATAGACTAATTAATTTGCTCAACTCCATATAAAATTGGTTCCAATATAAACAAAGCACTCAATGATGTTAAAACATAAATGTTAACAATCGAATCACTTATAAATAAAAGTTATACTATTTGAATTGGTAACTGTGCAAATGAAAATGAAAGAATCGTTGTGCGTTGATAAACCAATGGTAACATGCAAAAAACTTGTTAAAAATCTTAGATCATCAATTAACATATACCTTTTCTGAATCAAATGCATAATGACATGAACTTAACTACATAATTTAGTAAATTATTAAACTTATACAATTGATGTTTTTAATAAAGTGAAACATCAAGTAAACGAGGAACGAAACAAAATGTATATATTGTTTCAGCAACGAAACATGACATAGCAATAAAGAAACCATCTAATTTCTTAGAATATAATATAAAATAATTTTGGATGCGACTTACTATTTATTACATTTGGATTATTCTCGATATTCAGTTGAACTATCCTGAATGGATTATGATCCAAGATTTATAAATATTTATTGATAAAACATTTATTATAACCTTTAGTTTAATTTACTACATATCATTACACTCATCACATTAATAGGGTTCTCCACGCGGTCGCCCATTAAAACGATTGTGGTTAATTCCTGGTGAATTCTTAATGATGGGCTAGCTTAGCTGGCTTCATCCTCAGCCTTCACAGATACCCCGCCAGCACATACTATTAGCACAGGCCGGTCCACCATCATTATCAACCATTAGAAATATATATTATATATACCTGGCGAGGGGCGTACGGCGCTGGACGGGGTGGTCTTTCCGGGGGCGGAAGGTGTACAGCGCGAGCCGGCAGGGGCAGAGCCCCTGGCGACACTGTACGTACAGACTCCTGCCGCTCTCGTTCATGCTGCTCCATCATCAGCGATTGCCTGTAGTCAGCAAGTTATGATCTTAGAATATTTGTGGTTTGATCTTCTTACTCCGTTAAACTGTACCTATTAATGGCAATTCGAGAAATTTATTGAATTATACAGCACGCTGGATGGCTTTGTAAATTTAGGGTTTTTTAGGGTTACCTCTGACCCACCTATTCTAGTAGAACAACAGCTTACTGTGGTCCATTTGGATACAAGAGTGAAATTATGTACGGTACAGAAGATAACACCTCAGTTCTCAGGCATAGCAATGTATTAGAAAGTCACATAACAATGGTATCCATGGTAACTCCTTAGATATAAATGACGCTTGCCATTTTCAGTCAGATTGTCTTTTGGCATTCCAGTTACCTAGAAAAGAGGAAAAAGACATCGACTCCAAGTTACCTGATGCTGCCGCCGTCGGTTTCTGTAGCAGTGATGGTAGAGGGCGGAGAAGGTGGAACTGGAGGCTGCTGCACGCGCACGTGCACATCGAAAGCAGGTGGTGCTCCCACCAGCCGGCTGTGGGACGTACTTGTCTCGTGCATCTCCCCATATCCTGAAAGAGATTAAAAATATGATATTTGGTCATTTATATTTACAGGTACAAAATTCTTTAGAATTGTACCATCTTGTTGTTTAACAGGCGAGTTTCTCGTTCATTCTTCTGGAATGATTATAAATTTCCAATGGGCCTTAGAATCTAAAAATGTACATTCAAAAGTGCTTACACATAAGTTTATTTATTTGAAAATTAATTCACATACTTATATTGCCAATATAAACAAATTCTGTGGAACATCTGTGGAAGTATCACATGCTGTTAGTAGCAGTACTTAGCTGTAGTACTCGTCCAGTATAAACGCTATGTACCAACATTGTTGTGTTTGATTTCGCAACTTTTCTTGGCGGAGTAATCTGACGAAATAGTGTCAAAAACTATACGAACTTTGCAGAACATATGTAGAGGAGTCTCGTACCTTCACTGTAGTGTTCGTCTAGTGTGAACGCACTGTTCAGTGTTGGTGTGGATCTGTTCGGCTGCGCTCGGCATCTCGGAGGGGTAGTCAGACGAAATAGTGTCAAAAACTATAATAACTGTGCAGAACATATGTAGAGGAGTCTCGTACCTTCACTGTAGTGTTCGTCTAGTGTGAACGCACTGTTCAGTGTTGGTGTGGATCTGTTCGGCTGCGCTCGGCATCTCGGAGGGGTAGTCAGACGAAATAGTGTCAAAAACTATAATAACTGTGCAGAACATATGTAGAGGAGTCTCGTACCTTCACTGTAGTGTTCGTCTAGTGTGAACGCACTGTTCAGTGTTGGTGTGGATCTGTTCGGCTGCGCTCGGCATCTCGGAGGGGTAGTCAGACGAAATAGTGTCAAAAACTATAATAACTGTGCAGAACATATGTAGAGGAGTCTCGTACCTTCACTGTAGTGTTCGTCTAGTGTGAACGCACTGTTCAGTGTTGGTGTGGATCTGTTCGGCTGCGCTCGGCATCTCGGAGGGGTAGTCAGACGAAATAGTGTCAAAAACTATAATAACTGTGCAGAACATATGTAGAGGAGTCTCGTACCTTCACTGTAGTGTTCGTCCAGTGTGAACGCAGCATTAGTGTGAGTTTGTTCAGCTTCGCTTGGTGTCTCGGAGGGGTAGTCCGACGGGATGGTATCGGAAGCTACACTAACTGTTTCTTGCCTCAACGCCGCCGGTGGATATGTTGCGCGAGGAATCTTCACAGCTATTAATATAATGATTTTGTGATATTAAAGTAATGATTTTTTTTTTCATAAATGTTTAAGAAAATGAATCTATTGATTATCAGTAATAACGGCTACTGATATTGATAGCAATGTACTCAAACAGTCGTGATTAGTTCCTGGAAAATTTGCAAACTTGGCTTGACATCATATTCATCCCAACATCTTTCGCTAGTGACCCGACATCGTTCACTATTAGCGCAGGCAGGTAGCACTATAATGGTATAGATATAAAAATATTATATATATGGATATATAATATTTTTAATGGATGAACCATTAAAAAATATTATTGAAATTTAACGGGAGTGAAACCGCGGGCACCGCTAGTATATAATATAATTAGATTTCACTCACTATGAATGCTGCTAGCTATTGACGGTGTGGAGTCGTCAATCAGCCGTCTCGGCGGTGGCAAGGCTCGTCTCCTGAGGCAGAGGTACGACACACCCAGGCCCAGTAGCAGTAATGTTAGGAATAGGATAGCGCATATGATCATCAGTATATGCGTGCCGGCCAACGGTGATTGAATCGGCAATGGACTCCGCGGGGTCCTGCAAGAAATGATGACGATGGAGTACCGTGAAATGTAAATTAGACACTACTACATTCGCATAAAGTTGCATTTGCTTCTCAAATAGAGTTCAAGCTAATTATAATCATAATAATAGTAACCCTGGACAATTGACATTATCTTCTAGTCTCGAGATACGTAGAGCTTGTGTAACGGGTACTAAACAACTGTCATAAATAGTTAAATACACTTTTTTTTTAAATATGTATATACGTAATATACATAAAAAATACACAGACCAATACACACAAAGATTCTCATGACTTGAAATATTTGTATATGCAAGGAATCAAAGCCGCGACCATTAGAAATAAGGTGATGCACTAATGTATGATTTCTTGTATCGGTCTTGGCATATTAGGTATCTATTTGCAAAAAATGTATATAAGTACATATTACAATCAGTTTGCTGATTAAATGCCAAAGGGCCACATGAAGCAAACGGAAAATTTTACAGGAGAGCTCATAAAAATTTTCACTGTGATATTTTTACTTCTTTTACGAATCTATGATATCTATGTGTTAGCTCTAGAATCATGGGTGTCTTTTTTTAATATAAAAATTATAACGATTTAGACACCATTTTTTGAAAAAAATAGTTTCAGTTTTTTTTTTGCGTTGTGGCCCTTTGGCATTTCATAAACGAGTTGTCTAGTACACATAACACAAGCTCTGACTAGATAGCGCAATGTGAATAAATTCTACTTACACTGCTATAAATGGATTGGGAATCGGCTGCGGCACGATCGGTGGTGGGTAACGGCACACGATGGTGATAACTTCATCACCATCCATTTCGAGACCTGGGTGGAACCTCACCACTATGTTATTGGTGAACACGCGTAGAGGGTCCTAAAAGAACAAGTTTTAAATAAATTTCGACTTTAATACTTTAATGCCTTTTCATTAAAAAACAAATGAATCGATTTTAGAACACAGTGGTGGTATTCGAAACGTAATTTTGAAAAGACCTGAAAGAACATAAATATATCTGGTTTAAATAAATTCTACTGATTTAAATAAATATTTTAATAAAATAGACATTGGTTATGGGTACAAATAAAAAAAAAATATCGATTTCAAAACGTGATTAATGTTTATTCAATTAAGCAGATAATAGATTGAGCAATTTTGAATAGATTTTTTATGATATTGCAGTTTTATTCATACTGCACATTCAGTTAGGTGCATACCAAGCGGGATATCAGTGATTGTGTTCATGTACCTGAATAATTTATCAAAAAGTAGCAAAGTAGATATTTTAAAAATAATTTTCGGATATTGAATCTATTTACAATTTATGAAAGTAAAATGGCTTAGTTTATCTATTGTATCAACATATAGATATTATAACCATGATTTAAATAAATATCTTATACATTTTGTTACCTTACTTCCATTCATGTTCGCCTACTTTATTTTTAATAATACTTTCTTTTTTATGGTTGTCTAGAAGAGACTGCGTTAGCGACAAAACTGCCTTCGGTCCCTTCTTCTTTCTTTAATATATTGTTATATTTTTCAATGTATCTGCATATAATGATGGTACAACAAAGAATTATCATTACATAGTATAAACAAAGTCGCTGTCGCTATCTGTCCATCCCTAAGTATGCTTAAATCTTTAAAAGTACGCAACGGATTTTGAATCGTTTTTTTTTAATAGATAATAGTGATTCACTAGGAATTTATATATATAATACATGTACACCTGTGCGAAGCCGGGGCAAGTAGCTAGTAAATAAATAAATAAAAATACAAGCTGCACAATCACGGTATCAATGTCGCAACTACATAATAAGTAAAAATGTATCTAGTGTAAAGTCTATCACTATTAATGATATACAACTTAGTTATATATTTACTGACCTGTTTCGTCCCACATCCCTTCAAGGGTAGCTCTAGCTTGTAGGAGAGCGCTCCCTTACCGACCACCTGGCACGCCGAGTGGCGATCAAAGTCCGCATACGCGATACCGTAAAATTTCTCGTTGAACTTCAATTCAACCTGAAATAATAATATTAGTAATAAGTCTCTCTAACCATCCGAATCCAATGGCAGTACAACTCTTGGACCCTTCTCACAGGATCAAGAGAGTGAAGAGGAGTGTACTGTAGAAAGAGGCCGTTCAAGTATTAGGTAAGGAGATTTATTACAATTATTTGCACCCCCTCCCCCTCCCATCTCTATTATCAGCAAAAGTAAGCAAAGCTCTTACCCCCTCACCCCATGCTTACGTAAACATTTTCCAATTGATGTATTGTTCTTTTAGCAATGTGAGGTGGCCATTCCTGTAAAAAAGTAAATAACTGCCGATGACGTCATCATCATCTAGACTCCCCCAGCCCCCATGTCATCCAAAATAGGCAAAGCAAAGACACCCCCCCCCCCCCTCGCCCCGCCCCCATAATGCTTACGTAATACTTGAACGGCCCCAAAGGCAGTAGAGGTGCTGAACTCTTCACCTACAAATAACAAGCACGCAGCATATCTGCTTATAGTCTTTATAGATAATAATAAGTCCTATTTATTTATATAGCAATTATGTAGGACAAAATGGTACATAGTGAGTATTTCTTTAAAAAAAATCCCTATATCATGTAACAGCGTCGTAGTCCAGTGTGCACTGTACACTGTACTTTATTACTATAGACCACAAATGTTACTCTAGTCAACAACAAAAAAATGAGTCAGTCAATATATACTTCTGATTGATTCTCCGCTGACCGAACTTATAACTAACCAAAATAATCCGAGTGACTTAATTTTTATAGGAATTTACAGCGCAAATTTATTTATATATTAAAGTAAAAGAAATATAGAAAGAATTCAGTAAATTTTCTCGTAATTCTGCAGCAGTAAATGTTATGGATAAAATGTTATGTATATACACATACGATATTATCTAATCAAAATGCGGTGAGTCTAAGCATAATAACCGTCATTGTATCAACAGTAAATGAATTCCCGTTACCATTCCTATATCCCGCACTAGTTGATTTATTGAATTAGCAAAACAATAGACAATGAAGCGTCGCGAGGGTCGAGGGTACCCATAACTGTAAATTTCAAGTTGCCTCTGTATTTTATCCCGAAGGAATTCATTCTCCCGGATAAGTATCACTAGTATCATAAATATAAGTCTAAACATTATATATTTTCAATACAAAACAATTTTTGTTATTATTTTGAGTAGCAAACAAGTAATGTCGATTAAAAAATCCATTGCTAGCAATGTACCATGTAAGGTTAACCTCCACGCGGTTCCCATTCAAACTATCATGTTAAATTCCTAGTGAATTTGTCACGATGGGCTAACTGACCTGACTATACTCATCTGATCATCCTCAACTGGTGCCCCGCATCAAACCTTAAAAAAGGACTAAACTAAAACTGCTAGCAATGTACTATGTCCACCTCCACGCACTTCTCGATGGAAATTATCGTTTTAAATTCCTGGTGAATTTGCCAACTAACCTGACCTCGTACTCATCTTATCATCCTCCACTGGCGGCCAGCTTATACCGTTAGAGCAAGCAAATGCACCTTTCCATTATAATACTATCTCTCTTCCACGCGGTTCCCTCTGGAAACCATCGTGATAAATTCCCGGTGAATTTGTCACGTTGGGCTAACTGTCATGTTCATCTTATCATCCTTCACTGGTGCCCCGCCAGCGTAAACCGTTAGCGCAGGCGGGTGCACCATTCCATTATCATCCATAAAAAAAAAAAAAATACTATCTCTCTCTCTCTTCCTAGCTATATATCCCACATGATGGTAGGGTCAGCTTTCCTTGTTTTTCTCCGCCACTTCTCCCTGTCCCAGACATCGTCTTCAGAAACTTGGAATCCACCATGTCTCCAGCAATTACATTGACATTCCAGAAAACTAAGATGTCATGCCTCTTATCCTGTACTTTAAATTTTAAATACATACCTGCATTGAACCAGCAGCACAGTTGAGGGCCGCCTTCGTTCTATTCAAGAAGATTACTGGACTCAGATCGTCCAGTTTTGTGACCTGAAACATCGTCAACATTCTATATAAATACTCGATTATGTGTCCGTACTAGAATCTGCATCTTAATAATAATAATATAAACGCGAAAGTTTGTGAGTATGGATGGATGTTTGTTACTCTTTCACGCAAAACTACTGAACGGATTTTGATGAAACTTTACAGTAATATATCATCAGAATAACATATACACTATAAATTTAACACATGTGAAGCCGCGGGTACAGCTAGTACAATTATAAATCCGAAATCATTTCTTTCTAGTCTCTTTGTTACCTTTTCGTGGCGAAACGGCTGAATGTTATATGGAAATAGATAGATGTTATCAGAAAAAACTATATGTAAGGGGGTAAAATAGAAGATAAAAGTTCGAGCTAATGATATTGGAGGTAACAGGAAATACATAATATGTACTGTTTTAAATTTGAGGCGGTTTATTTATACCAACATATTACATATGTTATCTGTGTTTATACGTACAAATCACAAGATCTTACCACGCTTTATTTATTTTTATTGAGCCGATACTTCGGCAGTGTTTCAACCGCCATAATCACAGTAAGAGCAGCGTGTAGATGGTAAATAAAATATTATATAATACAATTTTGTACTAACTATAGTAACATTATAACTGCCAATGTGTGCATCTGTTTCTGATTTTTGTGTATGTTACTGTCTGTATTTGTTTCATGATTACATACATACATATACATACGGCTGAACGAATCTCAACGAAATTTGGTATAATAATTTGTATTCCGAAGACAGGTAGAAAAACTCAGATGAATACCCGGAAAAGAACTACTAGTTTCTTTAAAAAGCGCTATCGGGGACAGTCTAGCGTACAGAACTACTTTATGTATTTACTATACTAACTGTTTGCGATCGCAAATAGCCCTTTACTTTATTTAAAAATAAAATTTCAATTTTCAAATTTCGAACGTCAGGCACAGAACATCGATGATATTTTATATACAATTTTTGCACTCCTTCTCGAACATTCCGTGGCGTCACTATTAAAATCAACGTACAATACAATCTAAATATTCTTTTTATTTAAATTTAAAACATATCAACCACTGCAATATTCCTCCAGCAAACATTTTGGTCCTTCGAGCCGGATTAACTAGTGCATTCAGTGAAATACATATATATCTACAATAATTAATATTTATTCAATATATCTGCAATACGATCGTCATTACGTAATAAAATGGCGGAGGAATATTCTAGAACAAAAGCACAACGCAACGCAATAAAAGGACGAATAACTAGAATATATAATTTTGTACAACAACAAAAGGAAGGATTCGATATCAACGAATATATTACACGCAACGCGGAACTTGAGAAGTTAATGGAAAGGTATGATGAACTTCAGACATTAATTGAGATGAAGGACGATGGAAGCCAGGATGGAGACCAGTCAGCTGCAAATGAAGAGGACCGGAGCGCGGTTGAGACTAGGTATTATACAACAAGAGCGGCACTACAAAAAGTTATTGATGCCCACCGACTGCCTACAAGCGGATCAAGCTTTTCAAGTGCCCCATCATACGACCGCCACATCAGTAATGACGTACTTCTTCCCAAGCTCTCCTTACCCACCTTCGAAAGCATAGATATCAGAGTGGCCGACCTTCAAGAACATCTTCATGACGACAATTGGTCACAGCAACATGTCACCCGCAAGGAACCTTCAATTCCTGACAACGGCGCTTAAAGGAGAGGCAGCTGGTTTAGTAAGCGCATTGTTTATTTCTGACGACAATTTTCAAAAAGCTATGGACATATTGATTACCAGGTATGAGAACAAAGTTATCGTAGTAAACACACATTTAAAATCATTTCTCAATCACATAACTATCACTCGAAATAATTTAAAAGAGTTCCTTAACATCTTACAACAAAGCCTAGATTCTCTAAATGCTCTGGATATTAACACGGATAGCTGGGATGTCCTGTTAGTATTCTTAATCACTCAGAAGCTGGACAGTTCATTACGTACATCGTGGGAACTGAGCAGAAAGGATAACAATCTACCTACACTTAAGGAGCTGTTACAATTCTTGAATTTGCGAATGACGTCATGTGATCTTATTAATGACAAAGGAAGTGATAGCAAGCCTCAAACTACTTCAAAACCTAAGGTATCGTATAACGCATCTGTCATTACCTGCGATAGTGTGTGTGTTATGTGTAAAGGTGAACACTTTCTACATAAATGTCCACAGTTCATGCAATTGTCTCCGGTGCAACGTAACGAGTATGTTAAAACTAATACACTTTGCTTCAATTGTTTAAAGCCTTATAAGTTTAATCATAGATGTTCAAAACATAAATGTCTTACTTGTCGTGGCCGACATCATACTATGTTGCATATGCAAAGCCGTCCGATATTAGTTAACTCATTAATTTCTCAATCTAATAATATTGAACAACCATCTACGCCTGCACCTGTAGCAATTTTACCGCCTGCACCTGCAGCACCCACTATGACAGCGCCCGCGGCCTCCGTGCCCACTGTGCCTGCCCTCAACTGTAACTTAACCCCTCAACTGACGCCGACATACAGTGACCACGTTGACAACAGACCTCCTGTTGTTCACACAACTCATACGAGTACTAACAGTAACATACATGTACTGTTATCTACAGCTATCATAAGGATTCAAGATGCGACTGGACAGTGGCACACTGCTCGAGCCCTCTTGGATTCCGGCAGCGAGGTAAACCTCATTACAAGCAGGTTAGCGCTCAAACTTAAGTGTAAACAGGATAGTACTCTCAATTCTATTTTAGGTATTGGTGCATATGGGACACAGTCACCTAGATACATCAAAATAATAATTGCATTTAATAATGTCTAGTAAGACAAATTCAATATTGTCTACTAGGCACTGCTGTATCTAAACTGTGTCACCCCACCTTACATTTTCCTACTTTTATTTAGTATATAAGATCATTATTTTTATGTACACATTGTCAGTTTATTATCATCTGTAAAATACATCGTCTCGACCAGCAACATCGTAATATTCACCCGCAACAGTGGTGACCCCGACGTGATCTGCCCGACGTGATCTGCCCGACGTGATCTGCCCGACGTGATCAAGACGAAACCTGGGAAAACGACGAGATCAAGCAAGAGATCTCTGGCTGACGGCATCCTGCGCACCGACGATTGCACATTTCCACCGGCTTCCCAGAAGCGGGTCACACCGGAACGGAAATTCAAGAGGCACAAAAATCGTTGGCTACAATGCGCAACAAGGAACCCTGCCATACTACTGACCGCCATATAATACTGGCCAGCTGTTTTACTCATCACAACAATGGCTCGTCCTATGCCATTAACAGGAACAAACATGCCTAGTACACCGGGCATGTCTGCCACTAGCTGTATAGACATCGCTGCAATAACCGTCACAGAGCGGTTACCTGAGTTCTGGACAGACTCGCCACGTTTGTGGTTTGCACAATTTGAGGCAATAATCGCACCTCAAAAACAAGGCGACGAATATAAATATAATACAGTAATATCCAAACTGCCAAAAGAGGTCGTCCACCAAGTCAGCGATATACTTACAAATCCACCACCAGAGAATAAATACTCAGTCATTAAAGACAGATTGATCGACTGTTATGAGGAGAGCGAGCAAAGACGTTTCCACAAACTGCTCGCAGAAATGAACCTGGGAGATCAAAAACCGTCCCAGTTATTGAGGAGGAAAATGAGAGAAGCTGGTTGCGGAAAAATTAATGAGGATACCATCCGACTATTATGGATGAGGCAGCTTCCTCCATCAGTCACAACCGTTTTAGCGGTTACTGAGCAATTGACGCTGGACAAATTAAGCGAAATGGCCGATCGCATACATGAAAATATGCGATTTAATACAACAATGCAATCAACAGGCACCGCTGACATAAATACGGTCACACACCTGTCTTCACAACTCGCGACGCTGCAATTAGAAGTTGCTGCACTACGCGAAAATCGATCGCGACACATAAACCGACGCAGCAATTTCCGATCTAGATCAAATTCACGCCGTCAGTCAGCGCATACACAGAGTAATAATTATTGCTATTATCATCGTAGATTTAAAGAAAAGGCATATAATTGTGACCTGCCGTGCTCCTGGAACCATAAAAGACCGCCGTCGTAAAACTAGGCTCAGCACAGAACACGGCGTAACTCTGTGCTGTTCACCCTTTTAACCGCCTAGCTATAACCGACTCTAACAGTGGTTATAGATTTTTGGTGGATACCGGAGCAAATATCTCGGTGATCAAAAAGCAAGCACAGACCAATGAGAGCGCTAGCGAATTAAAATTATTCGCCGCAAACGGAACCGTGATAAAGACATACGGGGAAAAAACACTAACCTTAAATTTGGGTTTACGACGTTCCTTCAAATGGAATTTCATCATTGCTGACGTCAAAATGCCTATATTAGGCGCTGATTTTCTAGAGCACTACCGCTTATTGGTAGATATACACGGGAAGAGATTAATAGATAAAGTTACAGAGCTCAAAACGCCTGTAAGTTTCATCAAAGCAAACATTCCCTCTGTTCGCTCCATTGACTCCGAACTGCCTAACTCTATAAGGCAACTTTTGGAAAAATATGAAAAAATCACAAGGCCTACATCAATGAATATTCCCGTACAGCATAAGATCAAACATCACATCATAACAAAAGGATTTCCCGTATGCGCTCGAGCTCGTCCTCTTCCTCCAGATAAATATAAGGCTGCCAAAAAGGAATTTCAGGACATGATAGAAATTGGCATATGCAGACCATCAAGCAGTCCATGGGCTAGTCCACTGCACATGGTAAAAAAGAAAAATGGTGAATGGAGACCATGCGGTGATTACCGCGCATTGAATAATATTACCGTACCGGACCGATATCCACTTCCAAGGTTATTGGATTTCTCGTATATTGCTAGTGGAAAATCCATCTTCAGCAAAATCGACGTACGGAAGGCTTATC